GTTTGATTTTATAATCCAATAAAATAGGCAATAAATGTTAACCTAAACAAGGTCCGGCCTACTTCTTAATTAGTAGATAATTTAAATGCGTTTGAAGATAACAGAAGGAATAAGTTACGGATTGTGAAGTAAGTTAAAACAAAAATATTGATAAGCTTATATCGAAAAGTAATCATCGATAATAATGAATGTTCCCTTTAACAGGAAACTGCCAAAGAATGAGAGACCCAATATAATATAGTAACCTAGTAGGGTACTATAGTGTAGGCCTATCTATCGATAGCGGAACCTAGCCTTGCCCTACGCCAGGGTAATGCAAAGCCTAGCCAAGGCCTTAAGTTATTTTAATGTTAGTTAGTTAGCCTACACATTTAATTGGCTTAAGGACCATATTTAGTCTACGGCATAGACTTTTTTCCAAACAGTTAATGGTTTACAGGCTATAGGTTTAAATGTGTCAACCTTTAACCTAAAGATTAGGCCTTTATACAACTCACCCAAGGGTTTCTAATATGAAAGTTACACCGCTTGGTAACTTATTTTGTAAGTGCCTTTTACCACACAGCCTAGACAGTTCTTCAATCGCTGGGGCAACCGGGCAAACAGATGTCGATGACAGAACAACAGTAAACAACTCTTTTGCTTCAATTGTGTGAGAGTCGTTCATTTGAGATCAGCTCAATTTTACGGTTTGCGCATGCGCAGTAGGCTAGTCCAATTCCTGCCCTGAAACGCTCGCAGTTGTGAGTGTGTGTTCGTGTTGTGCGTGCAGTGCACTGTTGTGTTTTGTGTTGTTGTTGTTGACATGAGCGAAGCCGAAGCGACTCAGCGAGCGAGAGTCGACTGAGTCAAAGTCGAGACGCGGACGCGACTGACAACTGACGCGAGCGACTGCGAGAACTACTCAGTCTTCATCATCTATAAATAAAACTAGGTTTACAATGCAGTTGTCTGCTTGCAATATTGAGCGGAGCCAGCATATTAATTCAATGTCAATGATATATTTGGTTTGCAATCGCATTTTAAATAGAATGCCTATTTGCAGTAGGTATCCAAAGTCGATCATAAGTCAGGATTAAGTGATGAATCGTCTACTTGCAGGAACCATATTCTATGTTTCATCTGGTTCTCATAAATATAATGTCTCCTTGCAGTATCCAATGCCAATGATATATTTGGTTCGCATAAATGGAATGCCCATTTACAGATTCTCAAGTCAATGGTAGGCCTACTGCTGGTTCACGGAGTATGTTTAATCTATGGTTCACGTCATGGTGGAAGGAAAAAACATAGGAGTGCTATCTATTATATTATTAAAGTGATACAATCAAATTTTATGTAAACGGTTAAGATCATTTGCCAAATTAAAATATAGGCATATGGCACATCAAAATGAAGCATAGAGTGTGTAGATATGCCGAAAAGTATTGATATGGACGAATTTCTTAAGGGTTCTGCCCCACGGGCTGATTTCCAAATAAAAGGGCTACGCCTGGCATGCTTCCAATGTTTAAATGATTTAATTTAATTTTGTTAATGAAACAGCTGGTTAGTACAATGAACTGGTGTTTGTTTATTTACTCGAATAAGATGTTTGTTTTGCTTTATGTAGATTTAGGAGGGTTATGTTTGGTTTTAAAGTGAGGTTGTGAATGTTTTGTAAAGTATTGCTCAAATTTTCATTTTTTAAATATATATTAAACTACATGTGAAGAGGCTGGACTAAAATTGAAGGAAATGGTAAAACATGTCATTCATGAAGCGTCTATATGAAGCAATAATTGATGCTATTACAACACTGAGGTATGTTGTCATATTCTTAGGGATCTATTAACATCAAAAGTAGGGGTTTGAAAGTAAGTAGGTTTACGCTTTTTAAATCAGTTTTATTTTCAAACTAAATCATAGAGTTGCTGTATTTTAAAACACACATCAGCACCACTTTAATAGCTCTCTAGCTAGGTCACATTTTCTTCCCGTTGCAAAGCACGGGTATAGCAGCTTGTTCCCACATATTCTGACGTCACTCGGATTGCAAACAAATAAAGATCACCTGATTGTAACTGTCAAATTAGTATGTAGTTGTTTTGATTTTTGTTATTGTTTTTATAATAATAAAAACAATAACAACCAAATCAAAACAAATACATATACTAATTTGACAGTTACAATCAGGTGATCTTTTGTTTGCAATCCGAGTGACGTCAGAATATGTGGGAATAGCACACCTATGTTTTTTCCTTCCACCATGAGTTCACGTAAATGGATTGTTTACTTGTAGTATCCAAACTCAATGGTGCATGTAAATGAATAGTCTACTTGCAGTATCCTAAATCAATGGTCCATTTATTTTGTTCACATAAATAAAATGGAACATTGATCATTATACAAGTACATTTTTTACAAATTTTCTTGCAAATCAAAGGCGGTGTGATTTTTGTTGGTATAATTATGTTGTAGTATTTTTTTTTTTGTGACCTCGTTTTATCCTCTCCTTCTCCACGCAACATACGTTTAGGCCTAATTAGTTGACTATCCATTGTTGTTAAAAGAACAGAACGATTATACAATTAAATATAAACTGCATGATTTTAATCACTCAATATAGAACTGATTGTTAATCAATTCGTATTACATGCTCTTTAATATTCATCCGATTTTTTCTTTTGTACTGTATTTATAATGTGGTAGATTTGTTGACTAACATTTGTCTCAGGCTCTTGTTTACTTTTTAGTGTCTAACTCGCAAATAATGTCATGGCGGCCAATTAACCCATAAGGCCCATGTTAAATTTCTAAAAGTTTGCATTCATGTAGGGAAAAGTCCTATGGTCCGATTTGTACCATTTCAGATTTATACCTTCCCATGGTTGGTTACTATTTCGTGCAGATTGCTTCAGCCGTTCAGGAGGAGTATTTGTAAAACAAAAGTAGGAGTGTAGTATAAGAGCTTCGCTCGCTTCGCTCAATTACAGTTTTGTCTGGGCCAGTCTGTACATTGCTAGAAACCGAAACAAGTCTCACTAAATTTATGTCTGTCTGTCTTCCTGTCTGTCACGGCCCAAGAGCCATTTTACGCGGCCTACTCCTGAAAAACGAGAGTACCTATCAAGTTCCAAATTATTTTGTATTCACTGGATTGGCGAGATTGTCTTTAGCCATTAAAATATGGCGTCACTACATTGTAAATAAAATGACGGATGTTTAAAAACCCAATTTTGTGCGATTTTTTTTAAAGTTTTCCCAATGTTTATCACATAATATTCATCTATGAAGTAACGAACAGCTGTTCGAATCATGATTATTTCTTCTAGCTGTCACTGATATGTTTACATTAAATGTTGTTTACAAATACCGCAGCCATTTCCGATCACGTTTTGGAAAGCAAATCCAAACCAAGTAAGATTAAAAACGTTTTTCCTTACATAACGGATTTAATTAATCGCAAGTGCAATAATTTGTAGGGTATCCGTAAATGAAAATAGAGATTCTTTGTGTATAAAATTGTTCTTGAGTTTTGATAACCGGGAAAAAGACCTTTAATCATTGTTGTATATGGCTGGGAAACTTACATTTTTTAAATGAGCGTTTTCAGTCGAGATTTGGCACACGACCGACGCGCGTCTACATGTCCATAGTAAAAAGTAGGCCTACCGTGTATTTAAGATAGCATATATCTGAAAACACGCAAACCAACTGCTGTTCTTTATATATGAAGGTTTCAACTGAATACTAAAAGATCCCCGTGCGTAGAACGGGTACACAGCTAGTACATAATACAGCAATAAATGCAAAAAATAAAAATATCACATGGGTCACAATGATCTGTGCGAGTCCTTAACTGATCAGCTACTTGTTAGCGAATTTCCCATAGGGAATAAGCTATTACCGTAGTACTCATGGTAAGACCCGGACCCGGGACCATTTTTTTTCGTTTTGAAGTCCCTAGAGGCCAAAAACACAATCCGATATATATATATATGTGTGTGTGTGTGTGTGTGTGTCCGTTAGTGCGATAACTCTAACAAAAATGATCCGATTTTGATGAACGTGCAATTCCAACACTCCAACACTGGACAACTAAAAAATGTGTCCATGTCCGTTTTTTGTCGTTTGCGTGCAACGTTAAACTTGGACACATTTGAATGTGTCCAGGTTCATCGTTGTCTGCTTTTACGTTGATTTAGGTGGTGTCATGTCTGTTTTTTATCGGTAGTGTCTGTTTTTTATCGTTGTCCGCGTTGAACCATGTTAAACGTTGTCCAACTTCGTCATCAATCGTCCCATTCAATATACATCACCACACTCAACACTCAATTGATGACATATACATCATTGACACTTCTCAAACACACGTAAAAAAAAACAGGTTTTACCATTGGATTTGGATTGGCCGAGCAGTACTACTAAGCACTGAGCTATAATTCTAACTGGAGGTAGCACTGAATGTCAAAGATGCGTGTCGCCAGCCGCCATGTTTGCGTGAGGTGTGAGTTATAAGAAGCCATATTATTGCTATGGCTATTATTATACTTGGCTTAAAACACCTACTTTGTATGGTCGCCATTTCAAAGAAAATTATTAAAGTATTAAAAGTATTCAAGTATGACAAAAATACTCACTGCTATACCAACCTAGTTATAAGAAGCCATGTTATTGCTATGGTAAGAAAACTTACTGCTATACCAACCTAACAAAATCAGCGACTCGCTTTTGACAGACTTCTGCCATGGCAGTGCTACCTCCAGTTATAATTTTAGCTCAGTGCTACTAAGTCATGGAAATACAGTAATTTAAAATTTTTATCAGAAGTATATACATTAGCATTCAATTTCGATTCTGATGATTTTATCTAGCTTCTATAATCAATACTCATTCCAAGTAAACATGCAGTTGCTGCTTTGTATTACTGTATAAATCTGACGTAATAAATGCAAACAAGTGAACAGAAAAGAAAACTAACCTTCAATATCGTTTCGTTTGTCGGTCTCCGTAGTTTCATACGATACGATTACGTATGATAGGCTTGTTTTTGGAGGTTTTCGGTTTGTTGTGCTTGTGAAAGTGATGAGTTTGATTATCTACGGATTTTTATGGACCTTGATGGTTGGAAGCTCTGTTTTTTCTTTTTCAAATGAGATCTCCAGAAAGAAGTGAATTGAAAGACAACAATAAATGTAAGATCATAAAAACAGATCGAGTCTACGTAGATGTATTGTATTTTTGGTAAGTAGCCTAGTGGTGGTTTATAATAATTGTAATGGTTTGGTAGGCCTAGCTTCGACACAACCAATTAAGTTACGCTTCCCCTAAATTATTTGCCCAAACGATAATTTGGATTTGACAAATGAAAAATGTTTACTTAGCAGGTACTTAATTCTTTAACTTATTGTTAGGCCTAGGCCGTAAGTTACTATTTAAATACATCTTCATAATTAGCCAGTTTTAACTTTTATTGCTTAGCCTATAATTGAAATTGGACACTTACCATGTTTTGAATTAAAAAATGATTTGCCTCAAGCTTTTTTCCAAAGCTTGTTCGCAGTACAAGAGTACAGAATAAAAATATTAGGGTAGGCCTACAGTTTCTTAACTGGGCTAAGTTATGCTAATATCAATTCGATTTGTAAACCTTCATTTGATTTTTTCATTGTGTTGTGCACATTCGGAGTTTAAACACTTTTGTAATAAGTTAAGCCTAGCCCTAGCCTATGTAAGTAGAAACTTGTCGATTTACTTTTACTTAAGTAGTGTTAAGTTAGCATAGTCCTTCTTGCGTAGCTAACTTAATAATTCTGAATTCACTAAAATATTATAAGTTAAGTTATGGTGCCAAGGAAGCTTGGTTAGCACAAAATACAAAGTTCTCCAAGTTTTTTTGTGTAAATAGAATGCCTAACATTTAGGGCTTTTTTCTTGTGTCTGCGTGAGTAGCTTTTTAGCGAATCTCGCTTTAGGGGATTCGTCTTATCGTAAGTGGCACGGTAAGTTAAGACCTAGGCCCGGGACCGATTTACTTTTTCGAAAAATCTGAACTTTCTGGACTTTTCTTTAAAACATTTTTAAATCATTCCTACAATCTTAAAAAAACAAGAAAATAGCCTAAGTTTTACCTTTAAACAAAGGTATCTTTTTAAGGCGCCGAAACCACTGCAAATTACAAAAATATACAGAACTATTTGCTAAATGCGCGGAGCACATCGCTTGCCGAGGAATGAGGAGTGGAGTGATACAGACTGGTGACTAGGCCTACCTACCTACTTACTCTTGGACTCCTAGAATGGTTTGCGTTACCATTGATTAAATATTGATTGTTAATTTTACGGTGATTTTGAATCACATTAAAATAAAATGAAACTATTCTAAACTAACCTAACCAAACGTGCTGTATGGTTACATAAATTGGGTTTACAGCAGAAAAGGCATGTGTGGAAGGCAGGTCGTGGTTTATGAGAATTTGTGGCTCCATTAAGTGTTTTGAAGTACCGGTAGGTAAAGTTAGATTAGGAAGGTGCCCTAAAGTGTAGGTTATAGGTAATCGGGTTCTTTATTTGTGTTACACCATACCAGTATTGTTTTTTATCTTATGTAATAGTTGGTTAAACGGGGAAACGGTTTCAAAAATGCAAGCAATTTGCAGTGGTTTCCGCGCCTTAAAAATGTTTTAAAGGTAACTATTTTCTTGTTTTAAGATCGTAGGAATAATTTAAAAACGTTTGAAAGAAAAGTCCAGAAAGTTCAGATTTAGATGCAAGCATTTTTGAAATTGTTTTTCCGTTTAACCAACTACCGGTATTCCAAAAGATAAAAAACAATATGGTGTTACAAAAACAAACAACCCGATTACCTAAACTTTACCTTCCTAATCTACCCTTACTTCAAAACACTTAATGGAGCACTTAATACTCATAAACCCCGACCTACTTTCCCCACATGCCTAAATTAGATCATTGTTCAATCTGCGTTTTATTAATGTAATAAATTACTCTACCCTCAATATAATTCAACATTCATTATAACCTGTGAGGTATTATCGGAATAAATATTGATTTCGATGCGGTTCGATATATCGCTTATCAAATCCTTTCTAATCAGCTGGCAACACAAATAGGTGCCCAAGAGGGCCAAGAGTAAATAGTCACCGGTCCGTATCTTTCCGCTCCTTGTTTCTTGAAGTGCGATATGCTCCGCGCATTGAGTAAGTAGTTCTGTGTGTTTTTGTAATTTGCAGTGAATTCCACGCCTTAAAAAATGTTTGTAAATGTATTTTCTTGTTTATTAAGATCGTAGGAATGGTTTAAACACGTTTAAAAGAAAAGTCTAGAAAATTCAGAAATACCATCACTTTTTCATTTTGATGGCCCCAGACACCATTCGTTCAAATTTTTTTATCATGTATTGGCCCTAAACCTCCAAGATTTATATATAGGCTACGTCTGTGAACGTGATAACTTGAGTAATTTTTGTCTGATTTTGATGAGATTTGGCTTAGGCTACCGGTAGAGGTGTAAGGAGGGATTTAACTTAAACTTGAATGAGTTCGCGAACCAACATGATCGGACTATGGGAACGGGGTTTTACGGGGGGTTTTATGGGGTAAAAAAATGGTTTTTCTCATTATTCACCCTCAAAAGACAAGATTTCTCAATTTCTCTCAAACAATTTTAAACAAAGAGCTTAAAAAAACAAATAATTTAGTATATCAAAGTGTTTTTGTACGGTTATTGGTAACGGAGAAAATTGAAAAGTTGTAAATTTAAAATTCCGATGTTATTCTTATGGAGAATATTGTAAAATTTTGTAGTTTCATTTTTTATGGATATATTTTGATTAAACCTGGGAAGTTAATTTTGTTTATACTAATTTCTGTAGCAGTCTTTCATGTGAAATACTAGGCCTATCAAATGCTTTAGAAAGTCCATGAAAATACCAGCAACACTTTCTTTTTTGTCTATTGATTCTATAATTTATATAGGCCCTAGTGAAATTGATCAGATCTGTGGTGACAGATTTATCTTTGAAAAAACCATGTTGTTCGTCATCTAAAAGACTATTTTGTTTTAAAAATAGCATGAGTCTTCCATGCATGGCTTTTTCAAAAACTTTTGAGATTGAAGACAGAATAGAAACTGGACAATAATTTTCAACATTAAGTTCCTCCCCTTTTTTGTAGGCCTAGATTGGCACATGATTATAAAAATCTTAAAAATTTTAGAAATCAATTTGTCCGGGAAGATGCCAGAAATGAAGGATGAATTTATCAGGTGTAATAAAGGCTTTATCAATGCAATTTTGGACAATTTTGTAACTGTTGTTGGTATTTCATCATATCATCCGTAAGAGTTTTTATTTTTCAAAGAATCAATTACTTTAGCCAATTCGTTTTCATTAAGTGGATTGCAACGGAACACTTTTTGTGGATTTAATGAGTTATTTGTCAAAGTCACGGGCTGTGCTGGAGGCAATTCCTCAAGTAAATTTTCAGTTGCATTCACATAATAGTCATTAAAAATGTAACTAACATGCATTGGATTGTTAGGACTAACAGGCATACTAACAAACCTTGCTTTTAGGACTAACAGGGATGTTAGGACAACTAATTTTTAAATAAAAAAAAATATTTAAATTGACATTCACTGAGCTATTTACCTCATTGGTGTGTACACTTCCCCGTAGTTGGCATCCACCAGAAATTGATTGAGACGGTTAATTTTATCCTCAGAAAGAATTCAACATTTTAAAATTTCCTACACTTTTTTTGTTTTATTTTTGTATTATTCATACTCAGGTCAGTGCTGAGACTAAAGGTAGTCCATACACCTGCATGGTCAGATAGTATATAGGCCTAGTAACTGTTCTAGCAACCTTACCTCCACCTGGTGAGACATGACGTAAGAGGCTACAAGAATAAGGCATGCGTTGAACCTGGTTAATTCTTCATGAACAAAATAAAAATTAAAAGATCTCAAGATACAACTTAATTCTAAGGTCTCATCTCATGGGATTGGATGAAAGATGGTAAGTGGTGATCAATTTTGATTGGACACTCCAATCATCATCAGACCCAATAGGTGAAAAACCTATTGGGTATCTATTTCGCCTATTGGGTTAAATTTATTGGGTTTCGCCTATTTTGATCTTTAATGTAAAACTTTATTTTAGCGTTTTACTTCCTGAATACCCTTGCTTTGTTATAAAAAAACTAAATTAAATTTTATTTCAGATTGCAGGCAACAATCAACATCTCTAGACCAGAGAAAATGATTCCCATCCACTGCCCACTGTGCTGTGATCAGCCGTTCGACGACCAAGATGCTTTGTTCCACCATTTGCGAAGTTTACGGAACAACCTCTTTTGCCCAATCTGTTCTGAGAGGTTTAGTTCCCTGGACTTGCTCATTAAACATCTGTCTCGGAAATGTGATGGTCCCCTCTCACCTCGCGAGGCCAAACGGAAGTGTCTGTACAATCAGAACAAATTACTTGAAATGGTAAGATTTTATAACTGTCATTTTAGATCTCTGATTCATAGTTTACTCTGTAACCTTAGTGTTTATGTCTGATTTTGTTATTTTTTCCTGTCCATTACTATTACAAATACAATAGCCTATATAAACTAGTGATGGGTTGGTCGGTACCACATTTTCAATGTCGGTTCCGGTACGGATTCGTAAACAAAATCGGTTCTCACTTCCTGTACCATCGGTACCTCATTTCAAATTATACTACCGGTACTTGTTTTATTTTAAAAACAAAATATCCCTATTTCAATTTTTTTTAACTGATTATTTTTCATTATTGTAGGTTGGTTATATTATGGGATTAAGAAAATTAAACTTAGGCCTATTTGTATAAACAACACTTTGACAACCAAACACATGCAAATCAAAAAAATATATACCATAGCCTACCAGAAGAATTAAATATAGGTCTATTTGTTGAAATCACTGTTAAACCAATAAATTTAACATAGGTCACTACTCACTAACCTTGGAAAGAAAAGGGGCTCTGGAAATGTGTTAACTAAGTTCTAGCTAAATATTTAGAAGGGAGTAATCTTGAGTTATTTTGTACCTATAGTCTGCATTAAGTTAATTTTAGATTCCATTATTAAGGAAAATTTAGAACAAAAGTATTTATGAAAAGGACGTTTTGAACAAAACTTTTTAGAAAATATGCCTATTCATCTGAGGTTACAGTTTGAGGTGCAGGCTTGTAGAAAAAAAGATTTAACAAAGGCTTAGCTCTGTGGTGCATAGTTTAGATCTTAGTGAACATTTAACAGTTTATTTAAACTAAAAACACATTAATTATGCCAGGAGGTTCATTTTTTGTAGGACCATGTTTACGGCGTAAACAGCCGGCGGGTGGAACCCCCCTACAGTAGACTCCCTCTTATCCGGACACCTTTTAACCAGACATCGGTTTAACCGGACTACACTCCACGGTAATTACATCTCTTTAACCGGACAATTTTTATCAGGGCATTGGTTTAACCGGACTAAATCGGCAGGAAGTGGGTGGTACTGAAACGACTGTTCTCGTGGGAAAGATTTGAGACCAGTGATTACATGGCTAAATACAATGCTCTCCTAAATTTAAGTCGAATAACACCGTAAACGGTCTGTTTTAACGAGTTTTTGGGGACGTCGGCTTAACCGGAAAACTCGTTATCCGCACTGGCCTTGGTCCCAAGGAGTCCGGATAAGAGGGAGTCTACTGTACTGGAATATTTGCTGAAGGATATGAGAAACTATAAAATATTAACATCATATTCATCCCTTGAACTTCTATGACTTGGTTAGTGGTAGATTTCAACAGGCCTTGAAATGTGTGCATACACTCCCACCTTAGCTACAGTACTATTTTATGGGGAGGAAGTAATTATAGAAAAAAAAACTTAAAAGAGCCCTATAATTTGCGTTCAATTATAGTCTTTATTAGTGAATTTTGATCTAGTTTCGACAGAAAAGGTAAGCCTACTGTTAAACTTAACCACCACAAAATCCATTAAAATACAATATTATGTTGCATACAGGGGGAGGGTTTGGAAATGTGTATAAAACCGATTTCATACTTTGACCATTGTCGATTTAGCTTTGATTCTGTAGTTTATTTCTTTACTATAAACATGTACTCTCTTTGTTACAGTTGCCAGGCATCCCTCCAACTCCTCCAAGCAGCCTCGAACCAGCCAATTCTTCAGGTGCTTTTCTTAAATAGTTATAATACAGTAATAGTAAATTTAAAAATTGTTGTATAGCCTATAAGTTATTTAACAGATTTATTCCATACATGAATTAAAATGTACTATATACAGTCAAACCCCAATAACCATATCAATTAATCAATTATTTAAGATGGGGACGCCACTATGTGCGTATTTTAACCCAAATATGAGTGTAGGATGATTGTTGCTATCCTGTAGTCTTGTTCCAACATGTTCCTCAGACACAACTGTTATTTAATAGCCCATACAGCCAATGGAAACGAAGGGACCTATAGTTTGTAGTGGAATCTGAACCACATTTTTTCCTTGTAACAAATTGGTCTAATTATCACGATGGTACTGGGGATAGTCGTACTACTCACTAGTGTGGATGTTAATACACACCAGGGAGCATCGCATCCACAGTTCATGCCTATAATTTATTATAGATTATTTTGCGCAAAGACTGTTGAGCTTAAATCTGTAGACCTTATTTAATTATAAGACTTGACTTTACAAACAAACAATACTTTATTTTTTATAGCTTCACAACAGAACACATACAAACTTTTATAACTCATAAGCACATTTGTTTTACTCCAACTAAGAAGCTGCTATGCCAACATAACAACAAATTGTATAAACATGAAACAGTCTTTAGTCCCCAAAGCAGAATGGTTCCTACGTGTCTGCAACGGCCTGTGAAAACCTCAAAATGTGTCCGCAAGCGCTAAAACTAAAAAGCTAAATAATGACTTATATACCGGTATATATATATATATATATATATATATATTCACTCTTTAGGGCTACTAGTAATATAGTTAAATAAAATAAGTAAATTTCAATAACTTGTATAGCCTACTTTTAAAACAAAAAACTAAAAAACTATTAAGGGGTAGGCATAATCAGGTTATTTAAATTTACTTTTTTTTAAATACGTATATATATATACACATACCTTAACAAGTGTTAACAAAGTCTTTAGAAGTAAAACTTTAAATGTACTATAGTTTCTTTATATAAATACACTAGGGATGGACGGGATTTAAATTTTTAGTTCGGGACGGGACGGGATTTTTATTTCCTTCCCGATTTTCGGGACGGGATGGGACAGGATTTTTTTCTGTGCATAAAAAAAAGTACTGTATTGCAGTTACCAAAAAAGACATACGAAATCAATGTTTACCATTTGTGGCACTGATCTATAAAAACCAAAAAATGGGTAACAATTTACAGGTACCTATAGAAACTTGTGACTCGCGGGTCACGGGGTGATCGTCTGTAGAACTCACGGTCACGGCGCGATCGTCGTCATGACTCGCGGTCACGGCGCGATCGTCGGTATGACTGCGGGACTCCACGGTCACGGCGCGATCGTCGGTATGACTCGCGGTCACGGCGCGATCGTCTAGACTCCTCATCCCATTGTAAATTTTGAAGCTTGTTTTTCATGTCTAGTTCATGTACGTCCACACTGATCGCTGGGGTAGACCACATTTTGTTTCTATTATTTTAGGGTTATTTTCATGATTTGTGCTTTACTATTTGGCTATATAACTAGGGGACCAGTTATTCTTTATGATTAAATCGTTTTATATGATTAAATGAGGTTTTAAATGACTGAAATAACAAGAAACAAATTGTAAATACAACATAACCTCTACAGTTGGACGTACAGAACAAACAATAAAATTGGCTTCAGCTGTTCCATAAGGATGACAAATCTACTACGGGAGTATGATTTATCTATGGTATGACTCGCGGTCACGGCGCTGTAACGTCTCAATGACTTAAATCTGAATTTCATTTAATTGTATTTATTTTATTTTGTATTTTTATCAAAGTTTCTCAGGGATGGGTTCTTTGCCACGTGACTGATTTTATCCTAACTGCAGAATGTGTGAAATGTGAGATATAATGTTAAGTTATACAGAGCCACTATGTGTAAGTGTTATTTGGTCGCAGCACTCTTAAAATAAGGTGCCAGACAACTACCAAATATGCGTGCTTGTTTAGTGTTAAGCCGCAGCACCAGCGGTCAGCCGGGGCCTGACAAATGCTTTGTATGGAGTTAAATTGTTAGTGCCACTACTTGTAAGTGTTATTTCGGTCGCAGCACTCTTTAAAAAAGGTGCCAGACAACTACCGAATGTGCGTGAGTGTTGAGTGTTAAAGCCGCAGCACCAGCGGTCTGCCGGGGCCTGACAAATGCTTTGTGTGTAGGCCTATTCTAATTTCTATCCTACTTACTTGTCTAATTCAAATTACCTTATTAATATTTCAAATGAGTACACAATTGGGACTGACCTTATTCCTTGTTTTTATTTTCTTTTACAAATACAAATTTGATTACTATTGATTATTGTTTTATTTGCGCCTGGCAAATGGTTTAAACCCGCAGCGCTGACTGTCAACTCGTGAAGTGAAGACTGGCCCGTGGACTGCTGTATTTATACCCGATTTGGTTGCTATGGAGACCATGGAATGTTCTAGAACTTTAAACCCAGATGTTTCCACCAAAAGTTATCTTCCTTTTCCGGCAGCCTGACGTCATCGCTGCCCACTTGATCGTTCTTGATCCAACAGCTGCTGTCGGCTGGAGCTCGAGCTGTCAGAGAAGCTATTGTAAACTAGTAAACAAACATTCAATAAATGTAATAAATAAATATGTTTTAATTATTTAGTTAGTTGTTATATTTACATGTTTATCCCTTTGTGTGTGAAATAAAATAGTAATGTACATTCATAACTGTTATTGTGTTGCTGAAATATTTACAATGGATAACCTAACCTAAATACGGTAAGTGGGTAAGCTAACCTAGGTACGGTAAGTGGGTAGAAATATTCTTTATTACCACTATTTACAAAATAAACTATTAGAAACATTATTTCATTAGTAATTTAAAGAACATTAAGAAATATTTAAACTATGAAAAATGTGAGATAGGCCTACTTTTATTACAATTGATCTAACAAAAACCTAACCTAGCCTAGGCATAACATAGCCTAAAACGGTTACCGGTAAGTTAAATTGAAACATTACAGCGCGATCGTCGGTATGACTCGCGGTCACGGCTCGATCGTCAGCATGACTCCGCCATCACGGCATGATCGTCAGTATGACTCCGCGGTCACGGCGCGATCGTCGGTAGGACTCTACGGTCACGGCGCGATCGTCGGTAGGACTCCGCGGTCACGGGGCGATCGTCGGTATGACTCGCCATCATGGCATGATTGTCAGTATGACTCCGCGGTAACGGCGCGAACGTCGGTAGGACTCCGCGGTCACGGGGCGATCGTCGGTATGACTCGCGGTCACGGCGTGATCGTCGGTATGACTCGTGGTCACAGCGTGATCGTCGGTAGGACTTCGCGGTCACGGCGCGATCGTCGTTATGACTCCGCGGTAACGGCGCGATCGTCGGTAGGACTCCGCGGTCACGGGGCGATCGTCGGTATGACTCGCGGTCACGGCTCGATCGTCAGCATGACTCCGCCATCACGGCATGATCGTCAGTATGACTCCGCGGTCACGGCGCGATCGGTTAATATGAGTCCGGACAATCGAACGACAATCGATCGATGATCCGGAACAATCGAATTAAAATGTTAGATCACGGCGTGATCGTCGGTATGACTCGTGGTCACAGCGTGATCGTCGTTATGACTCCGCGGTCACGGCGTGACTGTCGGTATGACTCCGCGGTCACAGCCCGATCGTCGTTATGACTCGCGGTCACGGTGCGATCGTCGGTCCAATAATCGCGGCCACGGCGCGATCGTCGTTATGACTCCGTAAATGTGTCCGCAGGCCCGCGTTTCTCGGCGTTTCGTGTCCGCGACAATGTCGCAGCGTCGCTCGTTGTTCTGCTTTGGGGTCTTTAGTTAAACATAGAGTAATAAATAATTGAGTTAGGGTATATTTAGATACATGATGAATATATTATATTTTTATATTGCTCCCTCAATATAAAAATGTATTGTCTTCTTACAAACATGTTATACTAGCAGAGTACCCGTCCTTCGTACGGGATTGGCATATAAGTATAAAATGCTTAGTACAGCTATACTCAAGCATTGCGTTTGCAATGGGGTAGGACACAGTATAATAAAATTTGCTTATTTCAATTCACGGTATACTATAGTATTACATATCTACCATAGCCATAATGTTCTACTACTTCACCCAAACAATAGAAAAAATAAATTATTAAAGATTCACAAAATATGACAAATTATTCGTGAAATTAAAAACAAACATAACTGTAAACAGACAGTTCTCATTGTGTGTCTCAGTTTTTTTTGTTGCTGCTTATCCACAAAATTAAACATGTTGGGCTCAAAAACACTAGTGACACATATTAAGACATTTTCGGAAGTACAGTGAACAGTCAGAAGCAGCCGGGTTCTAGGTTGGATAAGAAGGGTTTTTAATGTAATAGTCTAATAGGGGAGCAAGCTGGTCTAGTGGTTAGAGCGCAGGACTCCGTTTCCTGGGGCCCCGGGTTCAAATCCCGCCAAATCACCAATGAATTTTATCTAAGTGATAATGCTGTAACCCCTAGGTCTAGCCTGAAGTAATGTGAAAAACAATTCCGGGTTTATGCCTAGCATCCTAGGACTAAAAAAATGTGATAGTGTTAATTATATTTTTGTGATATTGTCTAATATAATGTTGTCAACAGATTCACTGGAAAGCATGAGGTCTGCTGGTGTTGTCGTTGCAAGTCCTGCTTCTACACCAGCCGTTGCCCAGCAACCAACTCCGTTGAAGCACAAACTCTCTTCAAGTGTCTCCCTCCGTCCGTTGCACACGATACTACCTTCGCAGCAGCACAGCAAACTTGCTAACAACTCCTTGAGTGTAGTCCTAAACCCAATTTCATTCCATCCTAGTGTGGATATCAGTTTTACACCAGGTAAAGCCAAAGGCACATCCCTTGAACAATCAATTCTTTTGGGATTAGGGAAAGGTTCTCAGCCGAAAGTTGTCTTACCGAACCATACCCAGAGCTCTACGTCTAATCACTCCAGAAAAGTAGGCCCTTTATCCTCAAAACTGAAAGAAAAGGGCAAAAAGTCATTAGAAGTTCAAACAGAGGACACGTGTGTTTCCAAAGGATTGAAAAAGTCATTAGAAGTTCAAACAGAGGACACGTGTGTTTCCAAAGGATTGAAAAAGTCATTAGAAGTTCAAACAGAGGACACGTGTGTTTCCAAAGGATTGAAAAAGTCATTAGAAGTTCAAACAGAGGACACGTGTGTTTCCAAAGGATTGTTACTAGTATCAAATGAAGAAAAAACTCGAGGGGAAGAAAAAGTTTTAACAAAAAGTAATACAAATGCTGAAGTAAGCAAAAAATCTATAATGAGTGATACTAATCAAAGTCCCACAGTGAATGGTGTTACGATTGTAGAGAAAACTCCTAATAAAACTACAAATAACAAGAGACCACACAGGAAATCTAAAGCCAATCCCACACCAGAGGTGACAGAACTAGTTAGTCACAGGAGGACCAGAGGAAAAAAAATCTGTTATAGTAAACTATTAAGTGACCACGATGATGGTTTTGGCGATGACTCCAGTGATCACGTTGAAGATGACATAAGTGATAGTTCCAAAATCAGTGAAAGAAAAGAAAGTAAAAATCTGGTAGGCAGTCCAAAAAAAGATGAAAAGACATCTGATCCAACTATTAATGCCATAAACAAAGATTTAAATGGAAAACTTCCAGATATAACTAATTCAGTTCCTCTAACAACAAACTTAGATTCAGTAAAGAGTTCTCCTACAGAGAACTCTACAGATGCAGGAAGAAATGAAGGCGTAGATAGTTTAGCGAAAGAATCAAATACATCAAAAGAAGAGGCCAAAGACGTTTTGTCATCAGATGAACAAAAAGCTGAAGAAGACGAAGAAGAATACACTTGCTCAGCGTGTAACATTAGGTTTACTTCGATTTACGAGCATATTAAACAGTACCACAATGGACAGGAAGTTGTTGTGGAGGTTAGTATGTTATTTGCACTTTTCATCCTAAGCTCTAAAAGACAATTTTCCTCATACTGCAGTGAAAATAGCTGTTTTAGTAGATGCATTGCAGGTTTAAAGAAGCCCCTCTTTATAGTGGAGAAAGAGAGTAATCAGGGGCGTCAGTTATACATTATTCTAATTTATAAACTGTGATTGTAAGTAATTGGATTATTGTTAGCCCAGGCAAATTAGCCCAAAAAAGAGCTGTAGCTACTAAAAATTGGGGAAAAGCTGGAAATTGTTTTAATCTGCTCTGGAGATCCTAAATAAGTTAAAAATGAGTTTGCAACGGATGCTGAAGTGAGCTAAGTGTATGAAAGTTTTTGCTTATAACTAAAAGAACAGTGCATTCCACAAAAAAGTGTTTGCATACTTTTCTAAAGAACATTAAATTCCCCGTCAAATGACGATAAAATCATTAAAATCGGTTCTGTCGTTCTGCTACAACAGGTCATCAAAGTTCAGTAATTTTAACATTCTCCTTGTCATCCTATTCTTGATGATTACGGTGTGTTCCGCCAGATGGCAGTATATGCTATAGTGTTCGGTTAAAATTACCGAACTTTACCGACCTGTTGTAATAGAACGACTGAACCGATTTTAATCATTTTAACGTCATTCGACGCAGAACTTAATGTTCTTTAGAAAAGTATTTAAACACCTTTTTTGTGGGATGCACTGTTTTTTAGTTATAAGCAAAAAACTAATAATGAGCAAAATCGACCTACTTTTTTGCCTCCCATACACTTAGCTCACTTCAGAATCCGCCGCAAACCCATTTTTAACTTATTTAGGATCTCCAGAGCAGATTAAAGCCATTTCCAGCTTTCCCCCAACTTTTAGGAACTATAAGTCTAATTTGCCTGGGCTATGTAAGCAGCAAATGTTTTTATCGATTGTAGTTTAACCAAATTGCAGCAACATCATAATTTAATTAGCCTAAATTTATCTTATAATTTATATAATTAATTTATATAATTTATAATTTATTTTATGTATACTTGTATAACAAAACACAAGTAAGGAAAATTTATTTTTCTTTTTCCTATAATTTTTTCCCGTTCTATGTCACGATTTCGCACGTCCGGGAAGGGTACATTTAGTACCCTTTAAATTATTAATTTATTGAATAACTAACATGTTTCGGCTCTTAAGCCATGATCACAGTTATTAATAAATAGTAAATAAATAAATATAGGCTAAATGTAAATAAACAAGTAAATTATCATATATATACTAGCTGTTGTACCCGTGCTTCGCAACGGAGAGGGCACTGAAGCGAAAAAATTTGATCTTGAATTCTGTTGTATAAAAATAGTTACACATTCCCCTTTGGTATCAGGAACATAACTCAATTGAAACTCTTAGTTTGAAGAATATCTTTCTTTAAGGCTAGGCAACTTATAAGGCTACCTAGTACGAATTATATGAGGCGCTGATGCATTTATAGAAATAATTTACCCCTACAATTCAATTTTCAAATGATAAGCATACTTAAACATTTATTTTGTTGATAAACGTACATATAAAGTTAATAAGGAAAAATAATCGCACAGCATAAAGCACTGTAGTAAAGCAAAGAAATAGTTTTATTGATTTTACATATAATTGATATGTTTTACCGTAGCTAATGAGCTTTTTCGTTTTTTTCAAAGTTCAATCTTTACCTCGCAGATCAGTGTGTATTTATCAGAACAATTAGCGAAAATAAACTAAATATAAAATGGAAAACTTGTATTACCTTTTTTGGAAAACCAACCACTATTATTTTAATCAGGGCACAAATTTAATCAATCTATACTTATAAAAGGCAAAGCCCTCACTGACTCACTAACTCGCTCATCACTCATCACTAATTCTCCCTTTTCCCATTTACCTAGGAGGCTGAAATTCGGTACACCGATTCTTTGGGCATTAAATAGGAAAACTAAGTAGTTTTTATTCTGATCGGGCTTTCGGGCTCCGCCCCAGTGGCTCTGGAGTTTCCCATGTTAACCTTATGATTTTTCATATTTAAAAGGAATTAACGAATCTTAACAGCTGTTTCAATTAAACAAGTTGGTTCTGTTCTATGATGTTCAATGTATTACCTTTTTTGGAAAGCCAACAAAGGATTTTAACTGTACCAGTTTTTAAAATATATTAAAATCCTGATCCATACATTTGTTTATTAGTTCAAATTTGTAAACAAAAAGCTACCATATCGAAATTAGTCCAAAAAAATAAACATTGTAATGATCCTTCTGTTTCTATTAAAATAAGTATACTTTCATAAATATTTTAAATCAAACTATTCTCATACTCATAAAACTTAAAAATCTTGGGAGCAGAACCTGTACCTCTTAACCTCTGCTGTTTGAACTGTAAAATTATAGTATTTACAGGAGAGTTCAATTACAACTTTTTACTAATTACATTGTTCCAAAATGTAAACATTGATACTTTGGAAGCATATGGGGCGTAGCCCAAGGGAAAAACAGGAATAGGCCTAAATGTTTAACCAGGTATATAAGCTACCTTCATACAAAACTTTACTTCAATCGGTTCAGTGGTTCTTGCATTATTAAGTAACAGACAAACACACACAATCTCATTTTTATATATTAGTATAGATGTGTGTCCGTTAGCGCGATAACTCGAGAAAAATGATCCGATTTTGATGAAATTTGGTACAAACGTGTAAACCTACGTTTATTCAAATGAGTTCGCGAACCAGCATAATCGGACTATGGGAACCGGAGTTTATGGGGGGTTTTATGGGGTAAAAATAGATTTTTCCCATTTTTGACCCTAAAAACACAAAATTTCACAATTTCTCTGCAAACCATTTTGTAGAGCTTAAAAAAAATTTGTGTATATCAAAGCGTTGTTGAATGCCCAACGGTAACGGAGATAACTAAAAAAATTGTAAATTTAAAATTCCCATGTTATTTATTTGGAGAATAAATAAACCATCATAGTTTGCTTGTTTATGGATATATTTAAACCAAATTTGGAAATTTTGTTAATTTAATACTAAGCTGTGGACATGGCAATAAAAAAAGCCAATATCTTCCCTCAATATCTTCTCAATATCTTCCCTGTAGCAGCAAACCTAGGTACTCACCAAAATTAATATTAATTAAATACATCTGGAATATTTTAGTAGAAATCCAGCCAGGTAAATGGAAATTCGCTTAGTCTGCAGGTTTGCTGTGGCGAGGGTATTTTTATTTTTTTATAGCAAAACTGAAAACGAATTCATTTCCCAAAGTGAAGAAATAATCTATTTTGTATGGTTAAATATAAACTGTCTATACACAAAAATCTAACAAAATCAATTTGTTATTTCACCTCTCCAAGGTTAGTCAAGTAAAAAATTTTAATTCTGTACATAGCATCCATTTCGTGGGGCAATTTTTCTTCCTCAATATATAAATAAATATATATAGCCCAAAGTAACAGTCTTTCCAATCGTAACCATATTTTAAAGAAAATACCATATACACAGCTTATATGCAAGTGATACAGTTTGGACGTAGTTTACTATTGCACACTAATTACACTGGTCATGTTTGATGCCATTTTCTCTTCATTCGTTACAATTTCAATAATCAAGTGTTATGTGTTATCTGTAACTGTCACTATTTTAACTTTTAAGTCTTTTTTCTTCTCAAAACTACTGTATTTACCACTCTAAAAGAATATTTACCAATTACAAGCTTTCATAAAATGTTTTTCTTCTTTTAGGTTCCTGAGGAAGAAATAAAAGAAGATTTGAAAGCGTATCAAGAAACATCAGAATCATTGGTGTCGATTTCAGGACCTGAAGCCACCGACACGCCGACACCGCCTATTGACAAGGGAGAGATTCCAGAGGTAAAAAATGAAATTACCTCTCCCTGCCCCGAAGCAAAAACCGCAGGGAAAAAAGATACTTCGGAGGTCAAAAATGGAATTACCTCTCCTCGACCTAAAGCTGAAAGCAGGGTTAAAAATAGAAGTTTAAATACTGAAGACAGTGAAAATGATTCAGAACACACTAAAACACCAAAGAAGGCTAAAAATGACACTGAAGAACACTGGGAAGAGTTACGGACAGAGAAGAAAAAATTCTACCATTTTGTGAGGAACAGGGAAAAATTCAATTTGCTTCTCTCCGAGTTCAAAAATAATCTCTCTATTCATCCTGAGTTCAAAACGACAATGAATTCTTTATTTGAATCTCCAAAAATTAACGTCGTTGAAATCACATACCGAGAAAAAACACCTTATTTTGCAAACAGAACAGTCAACTTGAATAACCCCATGCCGATTTTTATTGTCGACAGAGAGGCAACCGACAACCCGGCCTTACTCGGTGGCATAGCAAGTTTTGTCATGGCTGGCAAGGACAGGACTCCTGTGCCGAGCGATTCTAAACTGATCGCTGTAATGAAGGTGATACTCGCGAGTGACCGGGAACTGACGGTGGAGAATCTGGTGTTCAACGACAAACCACTCAATGCGGACATGGTGCCTGTGTTGGAGGATGTCAAAACCCCAGAGATTCCGTTGTTGAAACACGCTAAAATGCTCAAGTGGAGATGCAACAAGTGTTTGGGCACTACTTGGAAGTTCCCTGTACACAAGGACTCACACTTGTGCAACGCCTGTCCCATCTGCCATCAAAGCTTTACCAGTCCGGTGTCACTCAAGAAACATTTAGTTGTAAGTAAACATTAATCTGTGTCATGTTCTTTTTATTTTCTAATAGATAATTTTGTACACAATGAACTGTATTTTGACATACAGTTACTTAAAGTTTGGCACAAAGGTTAGGTGTGACCATGTCTAGGAGTAAGAAAAGACGTAATTGGTTCCTTTTATAGGAAGCTACACCCAGTTTAAACCATGTCTTTAACAAATGACCAGTTATTATAAGTAATTTAGATCAATCAGTTCAAGTGACTTAATATGGAAATACTTTTACTTTACAAAAACCTTACACTACAATAATAAATTAGTCTGGTATTTTGCAGTGTACAAATATTGCTGTCCCAACCAAAAAAGATGTAGTCTTCTGTGCTATATTTTTAATGTACAGGATAAAAAAATAACAAGCTTGGACTTGTAAACGCTCAAAGATTGTGGGTTTGTTTTATAGGCTAGACATCATAAAAAATAGTATACATTCACCCCCTTAAATCAATGCTCACCCCAGAAAGATCTTGAAAGTATTGTTTGCACTGTAATTTTTTGCTGTTTCAGCTTCACAGGAAAGATGGTACAAAGTATTGCACTGAGTGTCGAGCTGCGTTTGTCAGTAAAGAAGCACTTAACCGTCATTTGACACTGCACACGTCGCATGTCCTGTGTGACAAATGTCAACTCTTTGTACAACGGGAACTCTTTGAAATACACAAGGATGTACATAGTAGTGACTTATCTGAGCAGTTTCCATGCAGGTATGTGACCTGATTGCTTCAATGGACTAATATGTCCAAATACCAGGATATAAAATTACACTGTTAGTTTATAAAACTGAACAAATATGTGCTTATAAATAGTACCATACTCATAGATAATTGGTATTTTTTTTGCGAAATCCTGCAATTTCCAGAGGCAGGTTAGCAATTAGCTACTGAGCTAGTGAGAACATTTTGTTATACTGTTTTTGATAAAAAAATGATACAGAGATAAAAATTGTATAACAGTAAAATCAAATTAAAGTTAAAAAAATACTTTTGAACTAAGGCTTTGTAGGTGAGTTAGCTCCAGCTCAGTCCGCTGGTAAACTTATCTGTGGCAGTGTGTAATGTGTATGTGTGAAGATCCATTGATCCTACATTGGATGCTGCCCGCAGGTGCCAACACCAAGTGCCTAGATGCCTAAGCGTGCGGCAGGCGGAATCTTTTGTGTCCTTGTCTAGTTAATTATAAATTTGTCAGTAGCTGGATAGCACTGCCCCTCAAGTCAAAGATAAAACCCTTGACTATTAATACAACTAGACATTCCATCCCCATTTTAAATTTTTAGCCAGATTTTTTTATCAAAACATCATAGTTGATGTGAGCCACCGACAAATTGCGCTGAACTATATTACTAAATTATGTCGAATACACAAACCTTTATACCAAGTCAAACTTAGGGAATGACGTATGGTGAGCTATAGCAACTGTTATGAACCAACAACCTGGTCATTAACAACAAATAAGGTATAAAATAGAATTTTATACACTAGCGCTGTGACTGGCCCACAGATAGATAGATAGATGGGATGTCTACTTCAGTATCCAATAGTGATAAAACATACCTGCTTAGCAGATTTCCCATCCTTATCTAACAACTGAAGCCAATTTTATTGTTAGTTCTGTCGGATGCACTATAGAGGTCGTATTTTGTTTACAATTTGTTTCTTGTTATTTCAGTCATTTAAAACCTCGTTTAGCAAAATAAAATAAAATGATCTAATCATAAACAATAACTCGTACCCTGGTTATATAAGCAAACACTAAACAGTAAAGCACAAATCATTAAATTAACCCTTAATTAATGGAAACAAAATTTCGGCGACACTAACGCCCAGTGCCACCGGACATGAACTAGACACCAAAAACAAGCTTCAAAATTTATAATGGGATGAGAAGTCTACTTTTTGTTAGTTAGTAGTGTAGTATTGTGGAAGGAACCCTACCTCAAACTTAGTGCAATGGTAGTTTAGCTTGGCACCTTTGTTGTGGTACCTATTTTTAATGTTGTATCTGGTTACTTCGCCCCTGTTTTCCCCTGCATTTGGCAATACAGAGGACCTGTTAGTAATTTTCTTCAGTGCTGCTACCTGTTGGTTTCTTGTAGAACTACGCCCACAACGACTGGAACACAGTACATGCTACATTGAGCCTCTCCTATTTGATGAAATCAAATTTAAACATTTTTTACATTTTCACACACTCATCCATACAGCTGCCAGCTATCATGCAACTAAATCGAATGTTTAAGGTTCACCAGTAAACGGACACCAGTTTCATTTGGATCCTTGAAAGAAGAATGATTTAACATTTAAAAGATTCAATAAGTCTGGAATAGATAAATGTTTATCTAGCCTTTTAAACACAGTAAATTCAATTCAAATATCTTTATTCATTTTTTTGTACATTGAACAATAAATAGTGTCAAAATAATCACAGTTTCAACAGGATAAAAACAGCAAAAAATGAGGAATGATTATAAAAACAACAAATACTTAGTATTATAAATCTAGTAAGATAATGTCAACTATCGTAGCAACTTAGGGAGGTAGAAAAATCTTCCAAAGAATAAATTGCTAAATTTATTAAAAACTCTTTCAATATTTGTATTAAATTTGTTTGGATCTATTTATTTTTTAATATTATTTGGAATAAATTTTAAAAATCTATTACCTGCATAAGATAGTTTCTTTTCAAAAGATTTAGTCCTGTGTAGTTGTATATTTTTGTTCTTATTTCTTAAATTATAAGAATGGGATTTTTATTTTGGTTCCGAATATACTTCTTGTGTTTTTGTAATTGTTATTGATTCATATATATACTGCCCGTAAACAGTAAAGATTTTTAGGTCCTTAAAATGTTCTTAGCTGACTCATCACGCTGCAGTAAAGTCAGCCTCACTAACCCTCAGTGTTGTAACCTAAGTAAAACCTCAATAACTTGACATCCGGTAACTCGACAGTCAGTGTAACTCAATTGTCAACAGCTGACAGGGCGATTGCAAAAAAACATTTTTTCAGAAAATTAAGTTTTAAGGATTGAATATTTTACATTTCTTTGAAGATTGTCTACTCGGATATGTAAACGTACTCAAGTAAGTGATAAATTTATAGGTAAAAAAATTAGTCTGTTATTTAGGCTACTCATTTATTGAAACCCATTTAAAATGTTAATATTTTGGATAACTCGACAACCTGAAATCTATAAATTGTCGAGTTAGTGAGGTTTTGCTGTAATTTATACTAAAAACTGGATAATGTTGCTGGTAACAGTTTTACCACTAAATCAGTAAAACGTTACACTAAACTAGCAAAGAATCAGCTGATTTTATCTTTTGTTTCACGTTCCAGTGTGTGCAAGAAGGTTTTTGGATCAGGTGAAGATTTGAACAAACATGAGACCAAGGTGTGCTCAAAGTTGGTCGCTCGGTTTAACTGTTTCACGTGCGACAAGAAGTTTCTGTCTAAGACAGCCCTCATGTACCACACAAAGGCCCATGAAAATTCTCCTGTCAAACTCAAGTGTCGTTTCTGTCCTAAAATATTCATTGAGGAAATGGAACAGGTGAGTTATAATTGACAGAGCTATTGACTTCTGACACTTACAATAACAAATTAAGGATTTTACGTTTTTCTTGTCTTGAATAATGGTGATTGTTGGAAATGAAATGAAACATTTATTTGTCACACAAAATTTAGGCTACATAATTGTGGTACATCACTAGTAAACATATGACATGGAAGTTTTTTTCCTTTTAAAAGTAAAAGGAATTTAGGAATATTTTTGAACATTTTAAAATAATTTCTTTTCAATATCTTTTGAAGTCCTATATTAGGATGAAATATCAGTGAACTATACCGTTTTATCAATGTCTTCAGTGTGTCCTAGCACATTGACTTTTACATACCAGGTTAAGCCAGTGCTACACTATCCCATTTTGCCGGTCCGGGCAAACAGGAGCCGTTTGGCAGGATGGTTAGAACTCATGTGTTTTAATGGCCACGGTCACTAAAGTTGAAAAAACGTGCAGTTAAATGAGAGCAGCCACACCATCCCGTTGTGCCGCGCGTTTATACATACTGCTGTCGCTATCAACAGTGCACAGCATGTGATGCTCACGCTCTTCACTCGAAGTATGTTGAGGTAGAACAGGAAGGTGTGACAAGGTAATGTGTTTGCGGTAAAAGCGCATCCATCTCAACCGCATCCTGCTAAACGGAATAGTGTGGCGCCGGCTTAGACATCCTATATGGGCCAACTGTAGGAAATCTGTATTCACATAGTATCCATGGTATCTCCTAGTGTTTTTCATTCATTTGAATTTTTTTTATTGTGATTTTCTCACAAAAACGCATAAAATAATGGAAAAAAAGAAATTTTACAAAAACAGCTCTAAGGATTTTGATCAAAATATGGTAAGTTATAGTCCTTTAACCTTGAACAAAATGGAACAACTCTCAACACTGTAAATTAGTGTGTTTCTCCTTGACAAAATCTTACTCGCCGCTTGCCCATTATAATGGTTTCTTTTTTATGAAAGTAGTAAAATGTTCAATTTTAATATCAGGCTAATTGGAGAAATTGTGAGTCAGTTTTATGACACCGTTTAGATTAACATTGCAGCTAGTTTTAGAATAAAAATTAATGTTGAAATAAGACTCTGACACAGTGTGTTATTCTCAATTTCTGATTTCTGTTTGTTGTATGTATGAACTTATTTATTAACTGAGCCATACTAAAAATACCCGGCAGCAACAAACCTGCAGACAAATTTCTGTTTGCCTGAATTGATATATAATTAAATCTATTTATATAACATTAGGTTAAACAAGTACCTAGGTTTGCTGCTACAGGGAGGCACTAAACTGTGTTTTTTAGTAAAATATTAATAGCTTAGAATTAAAAAAATAAATTTGCCAAGTTTGAACAAAATATATCCATAAACAAGCAAACGAAAACATTTTACAACATTAGAATATTCTCCATAGGAACAACATGGGAGTTTTAAATTTACAATTTTTTTAATCTTCTCCGTAACCAATCACCGCACAAAAACACTTCAATGTACTAAATCATTTGTCTTTTTAAGCTCTTTAAAATGGTCTAGAGAGAAATTGGGAAATTTTGTGTTTTGATGATCAAAAATGATAATAAACAATTTCTACCCCATAAAACCCCTAGTAAAACCCCGTTCCCATTGTCCGATCATTGATTCACGAATTCAAGTTTATCCTGCCTTACACTTTCAAACTAAATTTCATCAAAATAGAAAAAAAAATACTCAAGTTATCACGTTCACGGACACACATATATATATCTCTATATATATATATATATCTGTATATATACAAAGTAATGTTATAGTCATTGCAGCTCAGCGGCAGTTCTGTGCTTTTATTCAATTAGGGCGACATGGAGAAGTTCCGTCGTGATTATCTGTATGGATGATTACCAAATTAAACAGATTATTATTCTAATCCATAGGGATGAAAATTAACCTCAAAATTAGTATAGCTGAGCGGTCAGAAATGTTCAAGGCAGCCGCTTGTTTTCGGGTGGGCCTACGAGGACTGTTTTGCACAGCAGCACGAACTCTATCGAATTTTCGTTGTCTGGAGTCAGATCTGACTTTGGCCTGTCAGCTTCCTCTTCAATGCAAAGGCCGTTGTCCTAAAGTAAGTAACCCACCGCATTATTGTGCTACGTAACGGAACTTCTTCATGCATTAATTGAAAGAATGCATGAAACTGCCGCTGAGTAGCAATGAATGAATTCACTATTTTATAAAAACGACTCCATAACAACCACACTAGCTCAGGCGACCTCTGCTCTATGACTACAAAAAATGGCATTGTGTAGGCTTTCCAACGAGCCTACTCCCACCACTCTCGGACGACCTGTCGCTGAACACTGCTCTGCAGAAAATAGATCGGTTTTTTTGCCGCACCCTGTATATACATATATACAAATTTGAACGAATAGTGTTTTTGGCCTCTGGGGACGTCAAAATAAAAAACAAAATCGGTCCTGGGCTCAAGTCTTACCATGAGACTTGGTAATAGCTACTTCCCTACAGGGAAATTCGCTAAAACAACTTATTATTAAACGTTACACATTTTGTATCAATCATCCAAACTATCACATTATAAAAAAAAACTAATTAGAGAGAAATCAAATCACATTCAACTACGAATACAGAGTTTACAGAGTACAGAGTACCTATGTGAATACAGAGTAACTATGTGAATACAGATTTTCTACAGTTGGCCCATATAGGATGTCTAAGGCCGGCGCCACACTATCCTGTTTAGCAGGATGCGGTTGAGAAGGATGCGCTTTTACCGCAAACACATTATCTTGTCACACCTTCATGCTCTACCTCAACATACTCACATTCTAAATTTCATCAAAATCGGAGCACAGGTGTTGTGGCTCTGTACACACATACTCACACAGACACAGATATCACTTCTAAAACCACTTTTTTGGGTTCAGGAAGACCCAAAACAAATATATCCTCACAAAACTCAAACTTGAAAATGATGACGAAATCAATAGGGTACTTTCTCCATATTAATACCGGTATGGGGGAATAAAGTAAAAAGAACTTAAATTTATCTAGTGTAAAATGTGTTAAAAGTACTTGGGGTATCTGTCATCTTGAAACTAATAAGCTTTTGTATCAAGTTCAAATTTATGGAACTACAAAAAGATTTTACTACAAAATTGATACACTTATATGTTGTGTTGTACAATAAATACTACAAAACCCATCCAACAACAGCCTAGAAATTTTCTTAGTTGTTTTTCAAGGAATAAATAAATATATAGTGTAATAGTAATATTTTTGTCCTTAACTTTAAAAGTAGGGTTAATGATAAAAGTTTAAGATTTAACCACTTAACCAACTATGTTCTTTTTAAAATTTGTTTTCAATTATTCAATAATCATATAATTTTACAAAATTTATAACCTTTTTTTATGATTCAAGTAGATACTGACAAAAATAAAGTTCTCTCACATTCACTTAGGCCTACTAATAATCTACCACACGACATTCTATGGTGAAGTTGTTACTTTAAGCCCTTAGCCCCATTACTTTCATTGTAGGTAAAATACAACTAATAAACCACTTTAGGATTGAAGGTTTTCTTTTCCTTGTCATTCTGACATCGGAGCATGATATGATGTATGTAAGATTTTGTTATAATGTTACTTGTGCAAAAAACTTTGCAATATATTTCTTTCTTGTTTGTTAAAAAATATTTAAAGTTTTAATTTATTTTCTCCCTTGTCCTATTATTTTTTACTATCAAAAATTCATGTTTATTCTAGTAAGCTAATTTTTAATAACTCGTTTTGCTTTTTCAGTGTCCTAAAAAGGCAGGGAAAAGAAAACCTTCCTACTTCAATCAGAAAGTGAGTTTAAGCTATAATTATTTTTCATTTAGCATAGCATGAATATAATTTATAAAGATGCAAATATTTTTTATCTGCACTCTTAAGCTTTTTGTGAAGCTTATTACTGTACCAAAAGTACCAGGTTCCTGAGCAACGTCTAGAAACTACTTTAATACTATGGTCGCACAAGGAAGTTCTGTAGTACAAAAGAATCAAAATGAGCATTTTCCTAAGTATACCCAACCTCTGCCCAATGCCTGCTAACTCTGTGAAATAAACCTAAACTCTGGCTTATTCTGTGTGAAACACACCTGAAACCAATGCCAGATTAGCAGAGTTTTAGCGAATATCCCTATAGGGAAGTAGCTATTACCATAGGTGGCATTTGTATATTCTTAAATGTTTATTGTATGTGAAATCTAATTTTGAAAAACTCCACAGTGAAAATAATCGACACAATTATAACACTAGATTTCATACAGATTTTCAATATCCTATACACAGATTAAATCTTGTGGAAAGGACACCTTCTTATATGGGTAAAAGATTTTTTAACAATTTGCCTGGGTACTACAAATCTATAATAGGATTAGTATCTTTTAAAGAAAAAATTTTTGAATTTTTATTGGAAAAGAATTATTATAGTATTGGTCAATTTCTTGAAGATAAATCAATGTGAATTGTTTGTTTTGTTACCTACTATGTATTTATTTTTACCAATATAAGCTAGTTTATTTTAGTATAGTTTGACAATGTCACCTGTTTTGTCTGGCTGTGCCAGAGCATAAAAAAAACGTTTTGTGACAATAAAGATGACTTTGACTTTGACTTTTGGCATGGTAAGACCTAGACCCGGGACCGATATACTTTTTCATTTTGTTGTCCCTAGAGGCCAAAAACACAATTCCTTCAGATTTTTATGTACGTATTTATCATATATAGTACATATATGATATATAAAATCATATATGTTTATATTGGATTTTATATACAGGGTGTTGAAAAGTCTTAACACGCCCAAAAATAAATTAAATTGCGTAAGATAAAATTTTGCAACTTCAACATATCATTATCATATGATGACTTTTGTAGCTTTTTGCAGGAAATTAAAATGTTGCCCCCCCCTTAATTCTAGGGGGCAAAAAGTTTTCAAATGTAAAGACCCATGTTATGACCGCTTTGGAAAATTTTTGATTCCATATTGACTTGATTAATTGTCTTAAGAGACAGCACCCATGATGTCTTAATCATATCTTCAACAAACTCACTGATTTAATCTCAACATAGAAGTGACTAGACCTGGACACAATCAGGTCTGCATGTTGGCTGGCTCCATGATACACCTTTGTGTTCAATTTCAGCCCAGTTAGTTCAGTAGTTATTTCCTTCACCCACAAACACACAGACACCACATCTTCTTTATGATACAAATGTCAGTAAAATGTTGATTCTTTCGCAGATCTGGCATGAGCGGATACACACGCGGGAGAGGCCGTACATGTGTAAGTCTTGCCCCAAGTGGTTCCGTACCAAGCATCATGAGGCGCAGCACAGCTCGACAGCTCATTCAACCTCCAACACATCAACTACTAAGAGTGTACGTTTCCACATGTGTACTTACTGTGATAAAGTGTTTAGTGGTGAGAGACAACTCCACAAACACATGCAGAAACATACTAAGTGACTCTCATATAGGTGAAATTATTTCAGGCACTTTTGGAATGTAGTTCAGTAGGCTCACCTGTGGAATTTAGAGCCCAGTGGCTACACATAGGCCTGAAACGGAATGAGCTTCAGTTTTGAACTTGGGTGAAACTGATCTTTAATCTATCCTCAGTAGAAGTCCTATATTTGGACGAAATATCAGTTTAATTTCTTGTGACCTTTTTGTGTATCAATTAGCCCCAGGACTCAATACCTAGCACTATACCTATCCCTTTAAAAATCCAAGATTAGATAAGAAACGTTACTCTTTTGTACATTAGTTTTGATATATTAGCCTCTAAAATACTGGATTAATCGAAAATATTTTAAACTACCTGATCTATTGAGTGATCTTTGTTTAGAAGTATGCTACTAAAAATGTACTCATTTATTTTTCACCTGAGAATCAAGAATTATTACAACAAATTACAAACTGTACATTTTGTATAGTTGATGTCAACACACGGATGGGCAAAAAGTATCAATGCCCCTCTACAGTATAGTGAACAGTGGATATTATATTTATGAGGGCCTACAAGATATAATACAATGATACTGTAATATTATACGGGAATTTAACATAACATGGACATCCAGTCAGGACACTAAAAACTAATATCAATGTCAAACATAAAAAATTCACTTAAACTATAAAGAGGATGATTTTATAACCAGCAAAAAAGTTTACTTTCGAATAGCTTTAAATCAACACAGTATGCTTCAGCTGGCAAATTATTCTTGAGACTTTGTTAGTGTGACCAAAGGTCAGATGGACCTGAGAGCATCCACAAGCCATGTATTTGATGTTCTTGTGATATCTGTAAATGGTTTCTGAAGCCTGAAACCTTACTAGTTTATCTCTAAACAGGGACCTCTTGACAGATCAGGTAATAGAAACCATTTACAATAATTTTTGTTGACTTAATAGCTTGCATGTCTTATCTCATTTGGGGTATTTTTGAACGAGATTGATTCCTTAATCCTCAGCCTTTCTGTCAAAAATTGATTCTGAAGAGTCAAAAAGATAGTGTTTTGGTATTTGTTTTTAATTTACGGTATACACTGTGAATAGAACATCTTTGTTCTGCTTGGTTTACTATTGAATAACGGTGCATGTATAAGTGTGACAACTAATTCCTAGACATCAATACTTTTAAATAAAATCTCGATTGAAAACAGTTAACCCATTGGATCTAGTTTTCCTATTGTTTAACTTCTACATTAATGTATGGAATTAATATAGAAAATAAACAGTATCAGAAATCTGACACATACTTTCAGGAATTAGCTTATCAATAATAATTTATTATCTTGTGTTTTTATGCACTTAAATTTAATGTTTGATTTGTTTTTGTTTATACTGGTTTGTTTCTCCTAAACAAAATTAAGATAGCTTGTAATGCTGGCCCGTCACAAGGTTAATAATTGCTATTTAAAATAGTTTTAAAACAGTTCCTTGTAAATAGATTACACAACCAATCTATTATTAAGTAACCATTTAATCTATTAATAAGTGTCTGGACCCTAGATGACCAACCCAAATGGGAGTTTTAAGCAAAAGAAAGAACTTCTTTAGTTTTTTAATGAAATCACTCAGTATAACAGATTAATCTTTAACCTGTTATAATGATTGATGTCAAATGTAAATATAGATTTAATATTTGATTTTCCATTGCTTCTCATGTGTTTTTAATGAAAAAGAAAGAGTAGGCTATTTTAAGTTTTTAAATGAAATATATATATATAACTTATAACATACTTCTAAACCTGTTAATGAAGGCTAGATTGATGTAAATATAGATATAAGATTTGGGTTTCCATTGGATCTCAGGAAACAAAGATGAAACATAGGTTTATGTTATTATGTTGTTTGTATTTTATATGCGTTCTCACTTTTAAATTAGGTACTATGTCTGTAGCAATCAGTTGTACAAGCTTCTTACATCTATAGGAAGTGTCAAATATATTTTGTCAATACGATAAAACCATAGTTTGTATTTTTCAACATTATACTTGTATATATTATGTGCAGTTTAATATAAATATTGTTTCTAATTATCTTTATTTACTATACAATTAATCTGTGGAACTCCCTGGATGATTTAGTGATGCTTATTTATATGATTATCCGTCATATTGTGACTACAACAATCCAAATTCCTATCAAACAAGTTTCAAGACACATAGCAAGGGAAGACAACTCACAAAATTCACCCTTTATACTGAGTCATTTGCTTTTAGTTAGGCCTCTCACAAAGACAAGTAAATTCTGCATAACACCTAACTGAAATGATTCCAATCCTTGGTCTCCTGGCAAGAGAAGCAATTGACTTGCGTTTACACCTGAGTTTACAAACAAAATTTAAGACTTGATGATGAAAAGTTATTTTCTTCTGTATGTATACCACCCGCCCATAATACTTCTCTCCTGGTTAATTTTTGAACGCTGCATATATTCAAACGAGCATCGATACACGTTTATCTATATACTAGCTGTACCCGCGGGCTTTGACGCGGGTGTAAACCACAGTGACAAATACATTGTTTTAACGAAATATTTAATCAGTTTTTTGAAAAAGGTAACATTTAAACGCTACTAATTGCTGCATTTACTTACTTTGCCTACGGCTCGTGCGTAATCATTTCTCTCGTGTGCAGCAAAGGGCCACTTCGCCCACTGTTTTGTACAGGGACTGCAATTACAAGTGAACAAATTCTTATCCATATAGCAAAGCTACGCTAATGTTAAGATGAACATTAATGCTCGGGATCTGTTATTGACTAAATTATTTTGGTTTCATGTAGGGATGGACGAGATTGGATTTTTAGTTCGAGACGAGACGAGACGAGATTTTTTATTTCTCAAAAAATTTCGAGACGAGATCGAGACGAGATTTCTCTTCTCATACACAACGGGAAATGCACGATCAAAATTTTTACCTGATTTTGTAACATTGTTAGATGACTGTTTATTTTTATACAAAAATAATGATAATAGGCAAGAATATTTACAATCTTTTATTAAATAACATCAACATAACATTTTTTTATTAATCACGCCTAACTTATTAAAAATGCCTACGATTAGGAAACATGGTGATCTCAGTTAGTATAGAGTTCAACTTATCCTAGAATAAAATAAATCATAAAATAAAAGCAACAATAATTTTAATAAAATAGTTACTTGTTTTGACTTTTTTATATAGTAATAAAACATTCCTCACACTGCTTACACTTAACAAAACTTCTCAAATGTTATTAAAGTAATATTATTAAAATAATTAAAGTAATATTTACATTAAAAGAATTAATTAAATAAGAACGCCTTCGCAAAGGAAACGCAACTACAACACGCTCCTGTATTGCGGGTATTGCATTGACTTTCTGCAGGCGTTTTTAATACTTTTTTTTTATTCTCGTCTCGATAAAAATCTCGGCCAAAAAGAAATCTCGTCTCGTGTAACGAGATTGAAAATTTCTCGAAAATTTCCCGAAATTTCGAGACTTGACCATCCCTAGTTTCATGTGCTTTAATAGATAGGTATTGCCTAAATTTATGCTTAAGTGAATTTACCAAACAACTCAGATTGGAAAGAGTACATTCAACAGCAGTATTCTGGTCAACTTTAGAAATTGACTATTCAGCATCCTCAGTCAAAGTTATCCATGTTAAAAGTGAATAATATAGGCTATTCTTTTATTTTTTTTTTATCCTGAACCATTCACTAAATTTTCACTTGGATTCTAATATTTTATTTGATATCTTTTGTGGAACAATTGACAAGAAAGGTAACACTCACATTCAATAACTATGTTTATTACAAAAATTATTTTCATACTAATGTGATGGTTGTTGGAAAAATTTGTAAACAAGAAAACAATGGTTAAAAACGTATATAATTGTATAACTTACAAATTGTTTATACATTTAACAACAACATACACTAATATGTACAAAAAACAACTCATAACAACAGTATTTTAATGTAAAAAAACTATGTATACCTAAATTAATACATGTTTTATAAGGGGGTTTGAAATGTAATATGTAAAACTGGTGTAATGTAACATGAAATTTTATTAGTGAGATCTAATATAATTATAAACGTTATTAAGTAATGCATGAATCATTTTACATTTTTGCTTGATTTTGATTCTATGACTCTTCCTTCATTTACAGGGACAAAGTTAACCTGGAAAAGGCATACTCAATACTGCTGGAATTGTTAATAAAATAGTAGAAAAGACACTTTTGCCCGTGAACTATATTTTTTTGTCTTATATATGCAGCTTTAGTTTTAACAAACTAATTTATAGAACAAAAAGCATAGAGCTGCACAATTGGCACACAGCTCAAAATTAACAAATTGTATGCCTTTCATGATTCTTTTCCAAACACATAAAACGTGAAAAAAGTGGTGATGATTTCTCAACTTTCATGGAATTGTGAAAAAAATACTCTTAGAGGAGAAATAATTTGTATACAAAATGTTTTTCAAAGCTTAAAAAATAACACTTCCATAATAATTGTAAAAATTCCAAAACAAAAATAATGTTATTCTTAAAAAATGTGGATTGTTACTAAATTTAGAAACTTTTACCGAATTAGCAATCAGGAGGTGAACTCCAATTTCTAATTTTTTTTGTTGTTCTTGTATGTACCAATAAAAACTTTCCCGCACTATAGCAACTTAAATTTCACAGATTTTTACGCATCAACCTAATGTAAGATGGCCATTTACGGTTTCAATTAGTAAACTGAAAAAATTTGTGATATTTGTTTGCCGAACAATATTGACTTTATTCCCATATTATATTTTCTGATATAAATTGTCTGCATCAATGACTTACAGCAATCTTCTGAGAAAATCTTTTTTTCCTAAACCGTTTTTCAACAAACAGATAACGAGATAACAGTGTAAGTAGTCATATTTTAATACAAGTACCGGTACACTCACAATGAATCTCACAAATAGATATTTGTTACAAAAGGCTAGGCCAGATGAAACCATAACACGCAGCCTTTTGTATCCTTATGACAACCATATACTGGTTACCAGCTAGGAACCCTTTCTCAAGAGACGGATCATAAGTATTTAGGTAACACCAGGATTGGACTGAGGCTCATCAATCGCTGTCATCTTCATTACGACTTCTGTTGAGCGGCTGACGACTCTCCTCATCTGACCCGTAGATCACATCTTCGTCAGAATCATTGATCATGGAAAAGGCGGGGTTGTCCTTCGTGATACCTGTTTCTGAAACAAAACGCCAAACATGGTAAAATTACGATATTTACACTTCAGTACGAGTGTTAGTATAGATAAAACACTATGAATTAGAATTTGACATTCTACTGTTTGTGTACTGTTGTGTACAAATGAAAATTAAGGGCTAGAGGAAGATGGTGTAATCTTGCTTGTAGTAGTGGTGGAAGTATGGCGGTATTTTTTAATGTCTGAGGTTACACTTGGGACTACTGCAATGGCTAACATGGTCAGGATTGGGGGACGAGATGGTCAATGGTAGAGCGAGGTGCCTTGATCCCTGAGATCCTGATTTAAAATACTGCTAATTACCAATAGCTTTAGTACTGTGATGATGCCGGGACTCTCTAGGCTAGCATTAAGTATTGTGTAAAACGGTTTTGGCTAGGTTTGATATAAAATGACATCAAAATAAAAAAAATAAATTAAAACTGGATTACGAATGGAATGTAGATAAAAAGTAGGTTCAAAAGTGTCTTGAATTAAAATCAAAACAAATATCTATACTGGAGTTTACTAAAATAAGGTAACTTACCGAAGATAGTCTTCTTGCTAGGGGAGTAGACATAGGTCATTGTATAAAGGTAGAAGTTGAGTAGACCGTAGCAAGCCATGAACTGAGCAGAGCTGGCGTAGTTAGTGGACAGGTCAGCGACAAAGTTGTCTTCCAACACTCCTAGACCAAACCTTGACACGGTGATGGACATGCTGATAGACAGCACGATCAGCATCAGAAGCGTCACAAACTTCAGTCGCATGTCTGCAACCACAATCAGTATGGCAGTGTGTCAATAACTAGAACTGAATGTCCACAACACCTTAGGTCTGTTCTACATGGGAAGTAAATACCCCCGCCGCAGCAAACCTGCAGACTAAGAAAATTTCCATTTGCCAAATTGGATTTTTACTAAAATATCACAATTAAAATGTCAAATTTATATACCCTATGTCAATTTAAATAAAATTAGTTTACTGAGTTGGGTTTGCTGCAATAGGGAAGGTAACAAAGTGCTCTTATAATTAAATGTTGATAGTATAGTATGAAATAAATAAATTTTCCTACAGTCACCCGACAAAGTGACACTGCACTGGTTATAGTACAGAAAGCTGCTGAATTGCTTAATTACTTACTTTGCCGCACACTTTTAGCGAATTTCCCATATATTGAGTTTGGATACTGCAAGTATACAGTTTGTTTACGTGAACCCGACGTATCATTCACTTTGTATACTGCAAATAGACATTCCATCTAAGTAAACCAGAAGTAAGCCTATCATTGACTTTGGATACTGCAAATAGGCTTCATTAATATTTATAGGAACCAAATTGACCACTGACTGGATACTGAAAGTATATTTCTCATTTATGTGAACTAGGCATACCATTGACTTAGGATACTGCAAATAGGCATTTAATATAATTATGAGAAGCAGATGAAACATAGACTTTGGTTCCTGCAAGTAGACAATTTATTTACGTGAACCAGGCTTATATAATTGACTTTGAATACTGAAAATAGACATTCCATTTATGCAAACCAAATACACCATTGACATTGGATACTGCAAGTATTTAATTTCATTTACGAGGAACAGATGTAGCATTGACTTTAGAAAAGTATTGGATTAATATTCTTGCTCCGCTCAATATTGCAAGCAGACAACTGCACTGTACACCTAGTGTGTAGAATGAAGTATGAACTACTATTGTCAACAATAGTAGTGCACAACATACGGAGTTAGTCAAGGTCAGACCAGTGAGCGTCAATGTCGATGTGTTGTGTGTTTGTGGCATGTGTGGTGAGAGGGATGGGGAGCTGTGGATGGGAGCCGGGAGGGGGAAGGAAGTGTTCTGACACTGCCCCGTCCTAGTGACTCATTCCACAGATAACACAATGCGTGCTCATCCTCATACTCGCTCCGTACCAGTTCATCCGGACCATAAACGTAATTCGTAAACAGTCTAACAGTCAGATAGCATTCATCATTTCACTTGTGTTTGCACTTTCTTAGACTTAAATAAAATAAAAATAAGAAATGTAATGATTTTCTTTTGCAACAAACGTCAAATTAAAAATATTTTGAACAATTTTTTTTTGAAAAAAATCTGTGCCTGTGTTGGCGCCCCCAACAACTGGCGCCCGTGGCTCATGTCCCGCTCCCCCCCCCCCCCTAGTAACATCCCAGCGATCCACTGGCAAGAGTTGATGACGTCTTTCCCGCTATAACTACAGAATAGGGTATATATTCCTAGCGAGAAAAACATCACGCTAGAAATAATGTAAACTCCGAAAATCTCCATTCCATAGTATTATTGACTTACCAAAGAATGGCATCGAGCGCAGTTCGCTGTAGGCTCTCAAGATAAGGCACAACAAGTATGTAATGTAGAGGCCCAAGAACAAAAAGAAGGTCATCTTGAAATTCTGTAAAAAAAACCAACAAAATTATTAAAAATACTCTTACAAACTATAACCTGCAATTAATTGCACTGTTGCTGTAATTATATTTTTAATAAATTTGTTGATCATCCGAAAAAGGTCATTTTATAAAGTCTGATCTTTTAAGAATAAGTATAAGAATAAGAATATATTTATCGTCATTAAATACAAACAAAAGTACAATAGACAACGTCAAAACAAATACAATCTTTCTATGGATTGGGTCTATTGTGTTGATAGAAAATAAGTTACAACAGGAATTGAAAAGAAAAAAAAAACAATAAACTATATATTAGGTATTTGGTATCCTAAAAATTCTTTTACTGAAAAAAAAACTTCTGTCAAGAAGCCAAACAGCCAATTTATTTTTAAATTTATTAAAGCTAATCTCTTGAAACGATACAGGTAGCTTTAAAGAGCTGAATTTGGAGGAATTTGTGGCTATTAGTTGATTTTGATAATCTTACCATCACCATCGGAATATCTAGCTGGTTACGTGTTCTAGTATTATAACCGTGAAATGCATTACGTTTTGGGAATGATGAAAGATTTTCTTTAACAAATAGCAAATTTTGAAAAATAAATATACATGGAAGAGTCATTATTCTGTGTTTGATAAAGAAAGGTTTGCTGGTCGTTCTGCGTGGTATGTCAAAAATTATTCTTAGTGCTTTTTTCTGCCACGAGAAACCTTTCTGGCTCCAGCGCTACTACCCCACAGAATGTTTCCATACAGAAGATGAGAGTCGAAGAAACTGTAATAAGCAGTAATGAGCATACTATCTGAGACGCAACTCTTAAGTCTTCTCAAAAAAAAGCAGACTCGGGAGATCTTAGACACATCATGCGTAGTGTGGCGTTGCCAGGTAAGCTTTGTATCCAAATGTATGCCTAAAAGTTTCACTGATGACGGGATATTTGAACCTTCTAAGTGTTTTAGCGAAAAGCAAATCCGCTCAGTTTTCTCATGATTTAAGGTAAGAGAGTTGTCCCTAGTTTTACAATAATATTGTAGGTTAAACTTATTTAAACCCCGTCCTGTATGTTGTGGAGTCATGAAAAGTATTGTACGTAACCCCCTGTATATTGTCGGGTCAGGTAAAATCTTTGCTCATTGCACAACATTCACCTGCGTGATGTAAAAACGCTCTTACTACACTTACTTGTAATGTAAATAGCTATTACCTCACTTGTTGAATGAGTTTCCATAAACAGCTATACCTACTGAGGACAGTTGTTCAATATGGCATCACACCTGACACCAGAAAAACAGTGTGGGCTCTATGTCTATAAGTAGCCTAGCGTATCTGTGAGTACAACAGGGCAAATTTGATGCCATATCTAGCTTTAAATGGACAGTGGACACTCTAAGTGGCTTATAGATCGCAGAGGATTAAGTTTAAGTTGATAATTGTTTTAAAGCTAAAGTTAACATAACTTAATGTTTTTTAACTATAATTAGTTTTTAGTGAATTTCCCTTTAGGGAATAAGCTCATACTGTAGGTCTCAAAGTGAGAATTAGACCCGGGATAACTTAGGTACTTTTTCTTTTGATGCCAAAAACACTATTTGTATGAATAATTTTAGTATTTAAACGATATTAAAAACATACATAAAAGATCATATTTAATATGATCCAATATTTTAAAAAATTAAGTTAAAATGTGTAAACCTACATCCATTTAGGTTTGGGAACCAGAATGGATTATTGGGATTACGGATTATGGATTATTAAACCCCCGTTGGTTTAAGGGGGGAATATGGGATTTTCTTAATTTAGACAGTAAAAACATGCAACTTGACTTTCCTGTCCAACCGTTTTAAGACCTTAAAAAGCCAACAAACTAATATATTGGTGTTGCCACGTTTGTTTCGCTGCGTCCTTTACACTTTTATCACCTTTTCTGCAGCAGCAAACTTAAGTTCTTTTAATACTACAATTTTTCAAATCGGGAATATCTGACCTTTTGAGGAAATAATCTAGTGAAAATCCAATCAGGCAAATGGATATTTGCTTAGTCTGCAGATTTGCTGCGGCAGTGGTATTTTGATTTCAAAGCGATATGCAAAACATACGTAGAAATAAGATGTGTCCAACTGGTAGCTGTAGGTCGGGTCGAGATGTTCATTATACTTCTGCCATGTAGCCATTATGACAGCACACAACCACACGGGACCCACAATCAGTAGCTTGGGCAGATAGAACGTCAGTAACCGCCTCTCATTCTACAACAGTATATCACATTAGCCTAGTATTAAAATAAATAATGGGTAAAGATTATGACACAGTATAATTCTACAACTACCATTTTGTATTTACCTATTTGAGGTTTGTCTGTAAATTAAGGTCTCCAATGAGCTCCTTAAGTTACCAAGCTAACAAATTCAAATCTGACAGTGACATGTGCGTTACTTCCCTGGCTACTATTTCAGCTGATCCCCAACCAATGTCACAATTAGTTTTGTCTTAAGCAGCTCGTTGGAGACATTGATACACAGACAACCCTCGTAATTGGATTTTCTCTTTGTTGTATTCATATGTTATTATGATATAAAACTTGAAAATTAAAAACATATAATAGTAATAACTCATTCGTGCTAACTTTTTCATTCATAATGGACCAGTGACACACATATGCGGCGGCCGGTTTCTACCCATTGACTGACGTCCCATATTTGTATATTTCACTTAAAGGTACCGACAACAATCAATGATCACTGATCTCTCTCGGTATCACTTCTCGGTTTTGTTGAAATTGCCTAAACTATGCTATGAGCTATGCTTTTTCTAGTCGGTGGTTTAATACCAAATTCGATGCGAAAAGCCTGCTACACTGTAATAGGAGACTCATGTTTTGCAAACTCTGTCACACAGAAAATCAAATGGCATGGTAGGTAGCCATCTTACTACTAATGGTAAAACAAAATGGCTGCCCATTGTTGAAATAACTTTGTCTGCTGTTTACTGAACTACGGAAAAAAACTTAGAAATTTTCTCTTTTTGATGGTGTTAAGTTTATATCTACCCGATTTATACTTTTTCAGATACAAAGTAATGAAGTTATGGGTCCATATTTTTGAATAGCTCTGTAAATTTAAGCCTCACCTGTCTCAGCCCGTGGTAGATACACAACCAAAACAACAACAAGGAACAAAGGAACGAAGCCTGGAACAAAGCGTCCAACATGCCAGGGATCCAAGAATCCATCAGGAACGTCAATGCAAATATGGGGTCTGAAATCAAACTTTACATTAATTAAACCCCAACATAGCATACAGACTTGGTGGCAAGAGGATAAGTAAAAGGAACCACAAATCAAATCGTTTGTTAGTCATGGGACTGACCTTTTTCTTTTTATTTTCCTTTCACAAATACAAATTGAATTACAATTAATTATTATTTTTGTTTGCACCCGACAAATGGTATTAACCCTACTTGGCTGACTACTTGGAGGGCGAGTCAAAAAATCATTGACAAAGTATCAGCCTGCATGGTCTGGTATGTATTTTACTTTGGTTACTTTAATAATTTTCAGCTTAACAATCTGGAAAACTTAAAAGCAATTTATTGTTTATTATATTTATTTATATTTAGTCCAGTAAATAGAGACAAAAATAGGGGGGTTAATTTACAAACAGTTAGGTAAGTCTAATTTGTTTATATGTTGTCTAGGGTGGTAAGTAGGTGTTTAAAATGAAAAATGCACAATTCTTCCCCCTCCGTGCCCACCACCATATTGAAAAATCGAAAAAATCGGTACTTTCTAGAGATTTTCGCCTATATCTCCGTTTTGGTGTGTTTTAGTGAAAGATATGTAATGTCAATGTTGTAGACAGTAGACAATTAAATTTCCTATAATATTTGTATAACAATTTGGTCTAAGACTTTATGGATACAAAAATATTAATTTTTTTTACAATAAAACGTCACATTTTTTTTGTTATTTTGCCAAATCTCTATTAGTCCAAGCAAACTAAAAAAAACAGACACAGGGAACGTTAAAAATTTGCAAAAAAACGTTTTATGGTTTTATTTTGTAGTGTTGGGTCTGCAGAGTGACATACTAAAAGTTGCCAAAAAAAGGTCTACAGGAAACCTTCTAAAATCACGATTAAAAATGAATGGCGGCTTTTCCCAACATTGGACAAATTTGAAAAAAGTATATCACATGCATATTTTATTCAAAGTTTTTTCAGTTATTGACTTAGGACGACCACCGATGTTTATTGGGTGGGTAGTACTTCATTTCGAACTGATTTTTTGCGGCCATCTTGGATCTGCCATATTGGATATCAATAAAAGAAATTAAATGTAATGATAACGTTGTGACACATCATTATAAACAAGATTTTCACGCTGATTTCAATACCAAAATCCGTTTTTAAATATCTGTTTACGTTTTGAAGATATATTTAAACGAAAACTCTCTCCCATACATTTTTTATGGACGTTTCGTTCGTACTTTGAAGGTTTTTAAAAACCATTTTTCTTATATCTCCAGTTCTTATTAACGCTTGCAGTTCAGTCTAGCCTGTGATGTAAGCGCTTTCATTTGACCTATTGATCATTCAAATCTAAAGAGTTAGCATGGAGATAGGATCCCCAAAACAATATTAATATTAAATTTAACTTTTGTAAATATTTTTTTATTAAAAGATTTATATCTCGTTAGTACGTCACCAAGTTCTTTGTGGTCTCAAATTACTCATTTATTGTTTTGCTTTAACTTTATTAATCATATAATAAAATCTAACAAATTTAAAATGAGCAGAGTTCCTTTATTTAACATAAAGTTATTGTTATTTTGAAATTTGTCTTTAGTTAAATACTTATTTCCCCAATTACAAATCTATATAATTAATACGCTACATGAAACTTTGTCGGTTATAGACTAGTAAAATTGTTGGTTAACCTAGAAGTAATTGTAATATAATTTCTGTCAATGGAAAAATGGCTGAAAAAAACGTTGGTGAAAAGTCTACCACTCTACGGAGGTGCGTTGGCCTTGTATGAAAGGTTTTTAAAAATGGCTATCGGAAATATTTATGTTTTTAGCCAATAAGTCCTAAATTATTACAGGTAGCTTAAATAAGTAAATGATAAATTTTAAAGAATTAAATTGCGCATTTTTTGGTATATAATAAGTTAAGTTAAGGTAAGTACTTACATTCTTGCAAGAAAATAATGTTGCCAAACAATTTTAATAGTTTATTGTAATTCAGGGAAATTTTGAGTTATGGATTTCAACTTGGCAACAATGATTGTTTTGTTCCAGCTGACAGTTCTAATTGTTATTGTTAATATTTCAATATGTTTCATGAGTTTCATGTTAATCCCCCTTAGTATGACGATTGTAAAATAGAAAAATTAATATCGAAACCTGTTTTATTTGTGAACAAATTATACACGACAGTTGTGAGGTGTCATATCTCACTGAAAAAGGAATTGAAGCAATACACCGACCTGTAAGGCAAGGAAAATAACTGAACTCCATGTAATTGTTGGTCAAAAAGTTCATAAAAAATGTAGGGCACAGTTTATTAATTTCTCCATTCAGAAAGCAGGAGGATGATACCAGTTGTTCCCGTTCGACACATTTTAGTGAAACCTATTTTGATTTCAAAAGTAATTGTTTTTTGTACTGTAATGCTTTTACTATGATGAAATGAAATGAAATCAACTTTATTCATACTTTGCAAACATGTGCACGAATGGCGTCATTACATTGGATCAAAATCATAATGCTTAATCCTAAAAAAGTATAAAAGATATAATCACTATTGAAAAAGTTCTTATTCTAATATATTATGTAAGAGGACAAATTCGTTCTTTGAATACAGGGGATTGGTTAAAAAGTACATTTTTAGATTATTTTTAAATTTTGTAGTCCTTGTGTAGTCCTTTAGTTTTGTTGGAAGAGCATTGTAACATTTTATACCCATATACATTGGTTTTTTTTCAAAAAATCTTAATCTATGTGAAGGTGTTGCATAGTTATTTCTGTTTCTGGTACAATATTGATGAGAATCCCCTACCAGTGAGACATTATTTGAATTTTTGACAGTATATAGTATACATTGATAGATATAATAGCTATATACAGTCATTATGCCTAGTTCTTCAAATTTTTCCCTAACAGAATCTTGCCAATCCAAATTTAACATAATGCGTATTGCTCTTTTCTGGAGAATTAAAATTCTGTCTAAATTAGCTTGTGATGTTCCTCCATAAATACTTATACCAAAGGATAAATGTGAGTGAATATGAGCAAAATAAACCAATTTTAGGGATTCAAGTTTAAAAAATTTTGATAATCGATAAAGTGCAAATAGGCCTGTTGACATTCGATTTGCCACATGATCAATATGATCATTCCAGCTTAATTTACTGTCTATGTATAATCCTAGAAATTTAGTGTTCTCAACAATTTGTATATCTTCACCGGCTAATTTTAGTGCTGGGTAATCTGAATTGGTATTAGTTTTTAGATTAGAGCGTGTAAAATTAGTTTTGGAAAGATTTAGTAATAGCTGATGATCTGAAAAAAAGTTATTGATGTTCAACAAGTTATCGATGGCAGATTTTTCTATCTCATGAACAGATTTTCCGCTTACAAGAAGATTAGAATCATCGGCATATAAACAGATGGTATTCATTGTTGAATTTGAAATAACATTGGGTAATCCATTGATATATGTAAGAAATAGTAGAGGACCCAAAATAGAACCCTGTGGTACACCATGTTTAATTGTTCTCAACTGCGATCTTGTTTTAACCATCTGGTTATGATTGTTTAAGTGTGTAATTTCTACGAACTGTTTCCTATTAGTTAAATATGATTGAAACCATTTTAGTGAAATTCCTACAACCCCTAGTCCTTCCAATTTTTTTAACAATTTATGATGAGATACACTGTCAAATGCTTTGCTTAGGTCCATAAATATTCCAATTACTTTATCTCCCCTATCTACAGAATCAATTATTGACTCAATATATGTAGCAGCCGCTGATATTACAGAATGGTTTGATCTAAAACCGTGCTGCTCTTTATCGAGTAGATCATTACTTTCTAAAAAGTTAACGAGCTGATTATACATAGCTTTTTCATAAATTTTAGACATGACAGGTAACAAGGCTACTGGGCGTGTAACCAATATTTTTTTTTATATAAATCAGTCCTGATTATATAAACTTACTGTTATACAGCATAAGGAGGGGTAGAAGAACTGACATCCACTTCTGCTCAATGGACCAATCGTGGACTGAAAACGTCCTCAGCGTAATTGAGAACCAGCACTGAAAAATAAGGTTAAGATGAACATCAGTGATTGCTGAACGTAGGAGCTAACAAACCGGAGTAATACTAAGCTACATGACCACCATCAACTGTTCGCTACCAGCTATCACAATGCTCTGTTGTGTATAGTCTACTGACACGGTAGTGAATTTGAACCAAGCAGCAACAAAAAGCTGTGATACACAATGGAAGTTGTCTACAGTTATGCTTATGTTTTAGATTTATAAATAATTTGTGATATTGTGAGAATATTTTGGTAATTTACTTTTAGCGAATTTCCCATATAGGGAATAAGCTATTACCGTAGTAAAAAGTTATAAAATTTACCAACAGGGTGCAGAACTATTATTTTTTATTTATTTATTTATGAAAACAGCTAATTTGAACCAAGCAGCAACAAAAAACTGTGATACGCAATGAGAACTGTCAAATTAGGATTTATGTTTATGTTTTTAATTTAATGAATAATTTTGTCATATTTTGCGAATTTAATAATTTATTTTTCTCTATTATTTAGGTGATGAAGTAGCAGAACATTATGGCTATGGTAGATGTGTAAATACTGGGTACCGTAAATTTAAAGAAGCAAATTTGATCAAACTGTGCCTCTCTCCATTGCAAAATAGCTTGAGTATAACTGCAATAAGCATTTATATTTATATGCCAATCAGGTACGAATGACGGGTACTCTGCTAGTATATATATATATATATGTGTGTGTCCGTTAGCGCGATAACTCGAGCAAAAATGATCCGATTTTGATTAAATTTGGTACAAACGTGTAAACTTGCATTTATTTGAACGAGTTTGCGAACCAGCATGATCGGACTATGGGAACGGGGGTTTTATGGGGTAAAAATAGGGTTTTCCCATTTTTTACCCTAAAAACACAAAATTTCACAATTTATTTCTAAACCATTTTGTAGAACTTAAAAAAACAAATAATTTAGTATAGTGAAGCGTTATTATGCGCCTAATGGTTACGGATAAAATTCCAAAAAATTGTAAATTTAAAATTCCCATGTTTTTCTAATGGAGAATAAGTCAACTGTTGTAGTTTGCTTGTTTATGAACATATTATTTTGCTCAAATTTAGAAAATACATTAATTTCTACTAAACTACAGTATTAACATTTTACAACAACAAACACTTTTTTGCCCTCCCTGTTGCAGCAAACCTAAGTAGGCTACTTGTTAAACTAATTCTATTAAAAAATCTATATAAATAAAATTACAGTTTTGTCTGTACATTGCTTAGAATCATGCAGTTTTTGGTTATTTTTACGTTTCATAGCCTAAGAAAGCTGAAACGAGTCTTATCTCAATTTCTGTCTGTATGTCTGTCTGTCCATTCTGTGACTCCGTCTGTAACGCCAAAATGTCATTTTACGCGGCCTACTCCTAGAAAACTAGAGTACCGATCAAGGTTCTAATCATTTTTCTGTATTTACTGGATTGGTGAGAGTGTCTTTGGCTATAAAAACATGGCCTCGCTTCTTTGAAAACAAAATAACAAACCACCAAAAACCCAATTTTGTTCGGTTTTTGTCAAATTTTCTCCCAATGTTTACTATTACACTTTATGAAATAACGATCAGCTGTTTGAATTAGTTCTCACTTTTAGCTGTCACTGATATGTTTACATTCAAAGTTGCTTACAAATACCGCAACCATTTCCGATCAAGTTTAGTCAGCACATCCAAACCAAGTGAGATTAAAAACGTTGTGCCTTACTTAACCGGTTTAATTAATCGCAAGTGCAACGATTGTTCTTGAGTTTCTTGAGTCCGGGGAAAATCCCGTGAATCAGTGTTGTATTAGTGCAAGGAAACTTACATTTTTTTAATCATCGTCACCGATACCGTAGCTTACAAAGGTTTCCACTCATTGACGGCGCTTCAAGGACAGTTGTGTTAAGTGCAAAGTAAAAAATCACAACTGCAGTGGGTGATCGTGGATGTTGCTGCGATCTTGAAAGATCTTTCTGATTTCGCTGTGATCGTACCGCAACAGAGGTTTAACTTATCAGATGTAGCTAAACTCGCTTATCCAATGTGTCACTTTTGGTTTCTACTTACTTACATTTCGACAACGATATCGGTACTTTTCCTACATATGAAATAAAACTACAAACGTACAAACAAGACCCAGATTTGTGCGTTTTTTGTCACATTTCCTCCGAATGATTGCTAGAAATATGACGTACCGATTATCGTTTAGAGAATACGTAATCTTTTAAATAAGAAACCTTTGTTTGGAAGTTAACATTAAAAGCTGCTTACAAATAATGCTATTAATGGGAAATAACTTTGATTTTCGAAAACTAAAAAAAATGTAAAACCAAAGGAGATTAATAACTTCAGTACTGCACCACATCAAGTGAAATTTAATCTTTACGTTGTTAACGTTAAGAGTTTTGTGGCCTGTGTATTTATTTATATATATATATGCAGTTTGATTAGAAGGAGAGTTTGAATTAGTCGTAAGTACTACAGTTCTTTTCTCAAATGTAAACGTTGGTTTTGGTACTGCTACTTTTCCTTAGAACTGGTGGTAGCAGTAAGAATCATTTTACATACAAACACATCACTATTTTCAATATTTATTTATAAACGCTGCACCTTATTGCTTATTAAATTTAATTGATGTCTTACTGTATAATGTTTAACGTTTTCTGTCTGGACTCCAAAATGTTGTGTGCACTCAATTCTGTATTTGTGTGTGTATGTCTATTGGTAACGCATTAATGTCCTTATTTTTCGTGGAAAAGACAAGAGCACCATTGTTAATAAAAATTTCAACCCGAATTTTGTGCAGTAGTGAGGTTGAGGTAGTGTTTTAACTACTTTTAACCAGTGTGAAAAGTAACTTTCAATTACATGCCTACCTTAGGGCTATGCCTCATAGATCTATACTGTAAAGCAATTCCTTTCATCGTTAGATAAAATATGGACTAACACGATCGGGTGACATTTAATTGCGAAGCATTCGTTTTGGCTTTGAAACTGTCAGATATTGTATTTGAGAAGGTTTATATGAATTCCTAAACAATTATAGTTTTGCCATCATTTCTGTAAAAATGCACACTAAATATGCAAACCAACTCCTGGACTGAATATAAGGTTTAAACTTACTACAAGATTCCCGTACGTAGAACGGGCAAACAGCTAGTAGGGAATAAATGTGATTTTTTTAAGGAGACACTTAAATGTAAATCCAATCAGGCAAATGGAAATTCGCTAAGTCTGTAGGTTTGCTGCTGCGGGGGGTATTTTCTATTGTTTAGGTGCAGTGGTAGAACGTTATTATGGCTATGGTAGATGTGTTATACTATAGCATACCATAAATTAAAAGAACAAAATTGTTTCAAACCGTGTCCTCTCCCAATGCAAACGCAAAGCACGAGTATAACTGCAATAAGCATTTTATACTTATATGCCATCCCTGCACGTAGGACGGGTACTCTGATAGTACAAGGTGAGGCATAATAACAAGCGATTTTAAAAATACTGTTAAATAAAAACCCTTTGTTAAAAAATTATTTTTATTCCACAATATTAAAAAACATGAAAAAGCATTTTCTGCAACAGTAAAATGTCAGTTATTTCTTGAAAATAACTCCAGTAAGATGGCGTCCGTTTAAACGTACACATTCCTCCAGCCGGACCTTGAAGTGACTCATCACATTTCGTAGCATTGCCAGTGGGATTTGACCAACTTCCTGCCGGATCCGCTCTTTCAGGGCTTCAATTGTTCTAGGAGGATTACCTTGGTAAACCTTACTTTTCAGATAACCCCACAAGAAAAAATCACATGCTGTGAGGTCAGGTGAACGAGAGGGCCATGCAATATCTCCATTTCGGGAGATCACACGATTTGGAAACAACTGATTGACAATATGCATGCTTACTCGAGCAGTGTGGGATGTTGCTCCGTCTTGCTGGAAAAACATTTCATCGTTCACTTCGTACTGTCCAAGTTGTGGAGTAAAAAAGTTGTCCAACATCTCTGCGTATCTCTGCGAAGTCACTGTCACCGCATTGCCTTGGCCATCTTCAAAGAAGTATGGCCCTATGATCCCTAATGAAGACATGGCGCACCACACAGTTACTTTTTTGGAATGCAATGGCTGCTGATGCAGTTCTCTAGGGTTAACATCACTCCAAAATTGCTTGTTAACATAACCTGAGAGATGGAAGTGCGCTTCATCACTCATCCACAAACGGTTTACAATGTCCTCGTCTTCATTAATCAAATCCAAAAATTCTAAGCTGAACCGGCTTCTGCTTACAAAATCTGTTTCCTTTAGGGCCTGAACCATTTGGATTTTGTACGGTTGGAAGTGCAAATCTTGGTGTAAAATTCGTCTTACCGTTCGGTTTGAAATCCCAAGTGTAACGCTGTGTCGGCGATCTGAGCGACGAGGGCTTCTGTCAATGGCGACTCTTACACGTTCAACGTTTTCAGGTGTGCGCACAGTTTTCGGTCTTCCTGTTTTCTTCCTTGTCGTTGACGCAGTCTCTTCAAAGTTCTTAACCCAATTTTTAATCGCACAGGCAGATGGCACCGGCTGATTCCGATTAATGTTGAAATGGTTGCGGAATGCACGACGTGCTAACTGGTATGAACTACCGTTTTGATAAAAGGCTTTGACAGCGTACGCACGATGCTGAGGGGTCCAGCGCTCCATTGTGACTAAATGCTATTTCGCGCCAAACGTAACTGATGCTATCCCCTCCACCTCCCTCCAACGCAGCTTGGTTCGCACGCTTTTTAAAATCGCTCGTTATTATGCCTCACGTTGTATTATAAATGTGAAAGTTTGTGCAACAGGAGTGCTAATTATTGCATATTTGTTAACTGTTTCTTGCGCCTTTTATAACTACATATTTAAAAGTTTTTATTTACCGTAACTCCAAATGTGGCCATGAGGAAAATAAGGCGAAACCACATCTCGATCTGAGTAAACCCAGGATTGTAACTCTTGAACTGGAACAAACAAAGAGAGATTAGCACTTGTGGTGGATCCTAAGTTTAACAGAAAATTGAACCATTTGTCTGTCACAGTACAAGGGAGTGTCTCCTAATTAGCTGTGTAGTGACTTGTGCTGGCCGGCCAACTATGTTAAATGTCTACCGTGTTATGTATGTGTATTTAAGAAAATTTGACAACATTCAATGAATCACATTCATTTTGAAAATGACTACTTAGTAGTCGAAACTAGTCAACGGAAGTTCGACTAAGGAATTGTGGATGTCAAGGTACGTAACCTGTTATAATTGATTACCAATTCCGGAAGGCTTCAACATGAATAAATTGGGATCACATCAGAAGTAAAGAAGAAGCAATATTTGATTAACTTGTTAGCCCCAAAAGTATTCCATGATCTAAGAATTAGTTTAAGCCCATCCAACACTGAGGATCAAAGTTATTATGATTTGTGTGAAACTTTACAGCTATTACTTGAACCTGAAGGTAGCATAATCGTGGAACAACACTACTGTGACTCTGTTAGTAGCTTCGCCAAAGATCTCAAAACCTTAGTCAGTAAATGTGATTTTAAATGGGGTGGCCAAAATCTTATGCATCAACATCTCAGGTCCACTTGCAGTAGCAGCTTATTTCAGGGATTCATATGATGGGAAATTGTTGTCAAAATTAATTGAAATTCACAAAAATAAAACTTTTAACCAATGTCTTGAAATACCTAGTGGTTTTGAACAGATCAAAAGCGAAACAATGAAAATCCAAGAATCAAATTTGGGTTCTAAAGTGGAAGAACAATATCAGATTAGAGGAAAGAAGAACGCAGGGTATTCACAAGGAAGAAAGGGTGGGCACTTAGCCTGTTTCAGGTGTGGGGGAAACTATCACATTAGTACCTGCAAAATTCCTGCAGACATAAAGTGTTGGAATTGTGAGAGAAAAGGACATCTCAGCAAAGTTTGTTGGAGAAAGAAGCAAAACATGCCACAAGCTGACGATGCTTCGCCTTATGATGAATATGAAGATGAAGGTCAAAATCCACCATTCATGTCAATGTTATCCATTGTAGATAGGCAGAAGAAATTTAGACAATTATCTAAACTCTCAGATGCATATCAACCAGAAATTATTAACAGGACGGGGAAAATTATGTTAGAATGCACCATTGACGACAAGCGTAACTTCTTTTGAGTTAGATATCGGTGCTGCGGTCAGCACTATACACTTGCATCTGTTTAAAAAATTATTTCTAGAAAAGATTCTTAATAGAACAAGAATGCCATTAAGAACATATACAGGAGAAGTAATTCGCCTGATAGGCTTTGCAACTGTCAAAAATTGTTATAAAGATCAAATATCAGTGGGTAACCTATATGTAATTCCTGAAAATGTAGACAGAGTTTTCGGAAGGGAATGGTTAAAGTTGTTCAAAATTGAGCTTCAGAAGGAGAATGATCACTCAAGTAAGCAAGTTGGATACGCAGTGGAATACAAGACATTGACAGAAGGCCGGTACACGATAGGAATGGATTCAAACACTTGACGCTCGACCAGATTGCAAAAGAGGCAAAGGTTCTATTGGCCGCAAAGCGACAGGCGATAGCTGAGGCCAGAGAAATCAGGATGAGGGAACTAGAAAAACTTCAGCGGAACAACAAAGTTAATGACAAAGTCTACGATATCTACTCCACTCCAGATGGGGTAGGCATCAGACCTTCTAGAACTAGCCTTGTCACCAATCCTAGATCTCTTATGTGCTCCAAGAACAGCTACCACTCGTCCCTTAAGGGTTCTGAAAACTCTCTGGAGGAAATCAAAAGCATACGAGAGGTTAGGCTGAGGGAATGTGAGAAGTTACATAAGGTTGTGGTGACCAAGACGCAGCTGGACAAAGAGAAGGAACAACATCGAGGAGGAACAACATCTTCAGTTATTGAGAGAACACAGATGATGCAATAAGGAGACCTGCCGGAAGTTTGAACAAACCAAGCGGAGCAAGACCAAACTGCAGGAAGATATGACTGTATCAAGAGCTCAGTTGGAGGAGTTATGGCAATTTATCAAGGAGAAGGGTCTAGTGGTGGTAGAGGTTGAAGAGGATTATGACGAAGGAGAGGTCAGAACACCGAGGACCAAACCTCCGAAGAAAGCTCTGGTTGCAGCAGAAGTAGCGGAAGTCCTAAAATATGGATCTGGATCTCTAGACATTCGGTTGAAAGGTGATGATTACAAGTTCAAAATTCAGAAGGCTGAACACGATGTCAACACTTTAACTTTTCAGGCTAACCTTGCAAGATTGGAGACTCAAGTAGTTAGGAGGTCTAAGTCTATTGCAGAAACTTCGGAAAAAATAGATGATGAGTTAATATTAAAAAATAGAAGATTACAAAGAACGCTGAAGGAAGCTCAGTCTCGTGTAGAGGAGATGGAGACTTCTCACTCACACCTGCAGAGGACGCTAGACAAGCTAAAGAAATTCACAGTATCTCACTGTTAGCTTAATTTTATGGGGGAAGAGTTAGTTGTACTATCTGTTCACAGATGATATTAATTTTATTGTTTATCAGCTGGGTTATTTGTTCGTTTCTGTTTGTGTTTTTATTGGCTTAAACTGAATTAAATGGATGTACCATAGTATTAGTTTGATTTTATGTTAAAATAACTTGCAGACTCATAGAGTTAACATCCCAAAAGCCATCTTGTAACAAAACCATTGCCTACTATATATAAAAGCATAACTCAACTAAATGCGGATACTCACAAAGAAGTTGATCTCTCTAATGTGATAGAGTTTATGGAAGCTCTGGAGACCATAAAAGCGGACGGTGATCAAGTAACGTGAGAAATAGAGGTAACCAAGGTGTGCAACCGTGACGGGCTCACAGCTGCGCTTTGCACAGTGTAGGTGGCGAGTTCTGGAAACAAAATTAAACTATTGGACCCAACATTGACATAACGATACTTCCACTTACAAACTATTGATGCAATTATAACTAAAAAACAGCTGAAAGCTATAATTAACCTGGGTGCAATGTTTAGAAGTACAGTGCTAAGATTGGGCTTTAGGTTGACAGTGTGGTAGATATTGGTTTTGTTACCATAAACCACCAACCCCGAACTCTCATCCATCCGACTTCCATCTGTGTAAAATACCAAGCATGCTCAGTCCATCAAAAGGTTGCTCTGTTGCCTGTCATTCCTTTCCCCTATGGCCACTTGGTAAGGAATCTCTAAGTCGTACTACTTAGTTATAAAGTTCTGGCATTATTAGTTTCATGTCCATACTCCCGAAGTCCCTTAGTATGGACAGGTGTCCAGTCCCTCTCTGAAGCTTTATCTCGCCTCTGCTTCCCATTTTGAGGGCAGCAGTGGCTGAACGTTTCTAGCCTTCCAGCCCTAGTGGAAGCATGTCGACTATTGCTTCAAGTGCAACTGTAGGACAGGATTTCATAGTCCCACAGATCCCCATACAGCCACTGTCTGCTCTGCCTTTGGCCACCACACTAGGGCTGCGTATGTAACCATTGGCTTGACTATGGTCTCATAAGTCATATTTTAGATTGGGGCTAAGTCCACATTTCTTTACAATGGTTCTTCTACAGGCTCCGAATGCTCCTATGCCTGTTGCGAGGACATAGTCAAGGTGCCTGTTCCAGGAAGACAGCAAGGTATTTTGTTTCCTTCACTGAATTCACACTTTTCCTCCAAATTTCTCATTCTCGTGAAGAAGATTAGCTCCATTTTGTCCGGGTTGATTCTGAGGCCCTCTTTTGAGCACTAATTAAGATTATAACTTTATTATTTATATTTTTAAAAAGTAGGATTCACAAAAGATTTACCCAAATAATTATACTTATCAGATCTAATTACTGTACTAACCTCTCTATCATTCCCAATGAACCTAATGCTCTGGCTTATTAATTAAATGTATTTGTCACATAGGTTAAATAAAGCACTTGTCAGACATAACTTTTGGCCACGCTCCATAAACTGAGAAGATTGATTTGAATTTCTTACTTGATAAATAAATGGTATCAGCAATCTGACACATACTTTCTCCCATTAGCTAGTCAACAACCTTTGTCATGGGTATGCAGTGGGATCATATTTTATAGGAAAAATCACAAAAGTTGCATTTACTTTTGAACCCTAATTTTTACAACTATGAGGGGGTTGCACTATTTTTTTGTTCAGAATGATAAGGACCATAACATACAAATTTTAATCAATACTGAGTTTTTTTTTAGGAAAATCCGATTTTATGTTTTTTTTTTATAGGAAAATAACAATAGTTGCAATAACTTTTGAACTGTAATTTATACAGGAGTGCGATTAGTACCATTCTGTTCAGAATTTAAAGGGCTATAACATTTTTATTAAAATCGTTTAGGCCGTTTTTGAGAAAATTTGATTATTCTGTTATTTTATGAGTTTTTATGGGAAAATCACCGTTACAAAAAATTGCAACAAAATTAAATGAAACGCCTGGAGATACCATGGATTAGTACCTACATACCAAATTTCATCAAAATCGAACCACTGGTGTGGTCTGTAGCTCTGTACACATCCACACATACAGACATACACACACATGGACAGACATCACTTTGAAAACCACTTTTTTGGTCCAGGGGGACTCAAAACGGATATATCCACTCAAAACCCAAATAAATACATTCTCCATATACTATGAATAGGGGTAGGGGAGTAAAATCACGACATGAGATTGGTTCGCTCATATGGCTTTCACTGCTCTAAAAGCAATCCTAGTTTAGTTATGAATGATTTCCCCCCTCTTACCTGTTATGGATCCTGTCAGCCCTAAGAACAGCAATCCTCTTCTCAGAAGAAATACCTTCAATTGTGATAGATACTTGGAATGGTTTTTCATATACTTCATCTGCAACAGTAAATATTTTACTAATAATAAGGAATATAGAAAGAAGAATCAAAGCTAAATTAAATTGAACTACATTAGATTAGGAAGTAAACTCTTAAATTAATAACAGTAGTTTTGGCTGTTACAAATAGGAGTTGGTTACAAAACTTTGAAATTTTGTTACTGATGACCTTATTTAATTTAATTTAGCTTGGTCCTTCACTTACTGTTTTGTTTCTTTTAGTCACATACGGGTGCATATCTGTGGATGTTTAAAAAACTTAAATTTTAAGTTTAGAGGGTTCCCTACCCCCATTGAAAAACGTCAGAAAACCGATTCGCGCGGTATCATATAGCGATTCTAGTTTTAACATTTAAATTGTGAACCAAACACCATTTTGTACATAAAGAGTGGTTCTACTAAGTTTGCTTTTTAAAAAATGTCTATGCTTACGCAATCAAGGGCAACGACTTGTCAAAGTTAGTGAACTTTACAGTTAAAGTTTGAAAAACGTTTGAAAAACAGCTAAAAACATCATAGTGTGGTAAACATATTTACCTACGACCGTTTTTTAAAGTAGCCAAGTTCAGTTCTTAGAATTGAAAGGTTTCACATAACAGCATTGTTTACTTACATAACAGCATAGCTTTTCTAAACAACACGGGTAACGGACCGATGAGTTTCAAGGATTAAAAGAAAAAAGTAAAATTGTAATGCTTGCACTCGCCAAGGCTTAAATTTACCTTATTTTTTCTACTTGGGTCGTTAACCAAATACGCGATTGTTGCTTAAACTGAGATAGGCCTAACTGTTATGTCACAAGTAAAATAGTAGTAGTAAAGTTTAGTAAAATAGTAGTAGTAAAGTTTAGTAAAATAGTAGTAGTAAAGTTTAGTAAAATAGCAGGTAGAGAAGTACACTTACTTAGGAATTAAATTGATCAAAAATATAGTTGGGCTCACCACATTCATTATCTCAAACAACAAGTTAGAAAGCTCATATATGCATTTTCTCAACTTGCAGGGAGTGCTGACCGCAGATTACTGTAGGACAGTTTACTATGCCTACGTGCAGTCATTGCTTCAATATGGTATACTGGCGTGGGACGTTATCTCGGCCTCTACTGGCTGTTACGCAGGTCATTAATCAAAACCGTCCTAAGCAAACCATCAAGATATCCAACAGAGGAACTGTACTCAGATTTTCGTGTTCATGATATTCGACAATTATCTGTAAAATCTCTTTTTTAGAAAAATAACATTTTTACAAATTTGCAGCACGACTATTCTACAAGACATAGAATTACCTTTGGTTTCCATTTTCCTAGATTAAATATAACCTCCTTAAAAAGTAACCCATATTTTATCGCCCATATCTCATATCGGAATCTTCCGCCACGAGTCCTGCAGTATGAGGAGAGCAGTGCCCTGGTGTACAAAAGAAAGGTGAGTGCATGGCTTGCTAGCATTGGCCGGACGGCTACGGAGGCGCTGGTAAAATCCCCGTATGATTAAGTCCATTAAAAAAAAGCATAAAACTGTTAGTAAATTGCCTGGCATTGTAGCTACATCTTTCAGTTGCTATAATTTCAATCTTTGGTTAGTTTAGCAAATCATACTCTAAATTACTTATTGTGTTATTTTGTCCTTATTTGGTATATGTATTATTTGTATTATTTGGTATTTGGTATTATTTGTCCTACATATTTACTTTTCAATAATGTTTTTATTTATTATTTACTTAGTTTTAAGGAATAGTCACACAGTAAATTTTAACACATGTTTTTCTTGGATAATAGCTATTTACCTTACAAGTGTAGTAAGAGCGTTTTTACATCACGCAGGTGAATGTTGTGCAACGAGCGGAAGCAAGTTGCATAATTTACCTAAGTGATGTAAACACTCTCTTGCGTTACGTGTAACGTACAAGATTTTACCTGACCCAACAATATACAGGAGGTTACGAACAATATTTTTCATTATCCATTTTACTCATCTTCTAACAGTAACGTTCATTTACAAACCAAAGCTAGGTTAGGAAAATTCTTCAAAACATAACAATAAAATTCAAGCACACAGCTGATTTCTAGCGTTGAACGTCGTTGGCTCCATAGAGGTAAATTTTTTAAGTTAAGCACTCAATGTTATTTAAATGGGTTTCATTACCTCACCGAGTGAGTTTTTTCAACTTTACATCACTCGAGAAGTAAAGAAGTTGTATACATCACGCTTGGAATTGGGAGGTTTAACATGGCGGGTTAGGTAAATTAAATTATTGTATATCCACAATGCAATGGTTAGTGTACGCTACATAAGCAGATTTAGAACTCTTTTTCCACACACGGGCTTAAGCCTATGCGGAGAAATACATTTCATTATTAATATGTATCTGTTTATTGTCTGGTTCAATTTCTGGAAATAAACTATTTGACTTTAAGTTTGACTTGGTTAAAAGGTTTGTGTATTCAACATAAATCAATCATTAAAATTGACTCTATCTGTCGGTGCATCAATTCAACTGTGTCTGTTTTATTGAAAAACTGTTAACAACTTTAACATGGGGATGAATAATGTCTGGTCCTGAGAATAATCAGAGGTTTAAATAATAATTTACTTTCCTTTTCAACACAAGGGTTGTTTTTTTGTAGGGGTCCCGGTTTTAATACATGTATTGTATTGTTTTGTTTTCCTTTAGTTTATATTTAGCCCTTTTTATATATATTTTTTTAGAAAATTAACTACATTAAATCCATCCTATACATAATTTTCATTATCAGCAACAAACTGGGCAAGAATATATTTTAAATCATCTTTCAACTAAACTAATAAAAAAACTATACTCTGAATAAACCAAAACACTACATAATCAAATAAAGACAACATTATAGAGTGTTGCTACCATCATTGTTGCTGGTCTGTACAACAGTGATGACCCATAACTGTTGTCTGTAAACTGACAGTAATGGACTCTGGATGGGGAATGGTCCTTGGTCCATTAGCTCATAACTAATGTTGTGGGCCTCCAGAGCTGAACTGCCTTTCACATGTGTCGTCTTGGTTATTGGAGGTCCTGCAATGCAAAGAATAATAATCATAGATCTGACTACACAAAAAGTATGAACTATCGGAAGAGTTTAGTTACTCTGTTATCATCAAAATATATCATTAATAAGTGAGTTAATAAAGTCTGCACAGTTATAACCTATAAAATACTTAATCAAAACTTCATAAATTGGCATATGTAGGCCCTAATACAACTGATACAGTATTTTCAATTTTAGCTCGAGTGCTGACCATTGCGAGCACAGAGTTGCACGATCTAGTGTTCTCTTTCTCGTAGTTTCTGCTCAAATGATTTGCTCCATTTGGTAGGCTCTGGATATAACGGCTTTCTCGGTATGGTGGTAGATTCACTTTTCCTTTATGGCAGCAGGATGAAAATTCTTCGCCTAGTCCTCTTTTTCTTCTTTAAAATGTAGTGCACCACATTTCTGACATTTTAATGCCATCTCGCCAAGTGAATGCTGCTGAATTCTTGTATTAGTCAGTGCAATTTTTTAAGTACACGTTGCCACTAACTGTTCCAGCTCCTCGTCTGGGCTCCTTACGTTTTGCATTGCTTGCCGTATGTTGACTCGCCGTGTCCGACCGGCAATATTTCTTTTCCGTCGGGTCCTTGGCATGTATAATAGAAACTATAATATAAAACATATCTCCCGTCTTGTCCTATAGGTAAAATTTCTTTGCAGGGTTTCTAGTTATTTTTAAAAACATGCAAACTGTTTACATTTCAAAACCAAACATAACAGCTGGGATTTATTTTTCTTTAAACTAATTTATTGACATCTGTTTCAGAATATTATAACATTCAAATCAATCACAATGCTATCCTTATGGAAGGAACTTTGAGGGCAGCCCATACCCTTAAAAAGATATATTTTGAAAATCAAAAGCCTGTTTGCATATCTACACATCTAGACGAACATTTTGGTACATAATATGTGGGTTTAAATCTTAAAACAAAAAAGCCTTATTGTTCACAAAGTTTCACGTCGCGTATTAAATATATAGAAGATAGATGAAATCAGGTTGTTCATGGTTTAAAGAAAATTTATAAAATATGCATATGGCCCGAGGCGAAGTAAAATGGCGAAGCCAGATTTTTGGATAATCTCTTCACAATTGTAGTTCCTTAGTAAAATCACTATATTCTGTACAGGTTTGAAAATCCAACATATGTCACTGTAGAAGACATTCTCTACTACTTCATTTTCATAATACCAATTAAGTTTATCGAGTGGGTGGGGGGTACAATTCCAGCTCGTACACAAGCCAAGCTAGCTGTCCAAGAGGGGGGTACAATTCCGGGGGGTACAATTCCACCCCGTACACATTTGGCTTTCTGATGGGGGGTACAATTCCAGGGGGGTACAATTCCACCCCGTACGTAAATATTTTGATGTTGGCAGGGGGTACAATTCCGGGGGGTACAATTCCAGGGGGTACAATTCCGGGCCGTACATCTCCTGCTCTTTTTAATATCTAATATAATTATCCGGTTCACTGATCATTGCCCACATTAAATAGATTAGATTTCGTTCAAATCAAAGTGTACGGGGTGGAATTGTACCCCCCCTAGGCATGACGTCAACAATCACCGGGGGGTACAATTCCAGGGGGGTACAATTCCGGTGACCCGATATGCATGCTGGTGCAACATTGCCACACACCAACTTACACCGCGGCCTTGTATTCGCACTCATATTTGGGTTAAAATACGCACATAGTGGCGTCCCCATCTTAAATAATTGATAATTGTATTAGAGGAGGCTATGGTAGCTTTGATGATGATTAGGAACAGGTGTTTTATCCACCCATTTATAAAGGCCGATTGATCCAGGACACATGGGTCCAATTTCAAATACAAAAACTAAAAAATGCACCACTTTCACTACAATCTGAATTATAACTAACAAGGTCTGGTATGTTTTTCTTTTTTAAGGATTACAAATATGAACAAAAACTTGCCAGGTTTAGTTCAGCAAATAGACAATAAAGTAATTGTTGTAAGATAAATCTGTTCAAGTTATACATTATAAGTACAACCTCAGAGTAATAATATATAATATATATATATATTTACATACATATTTTAAGTATTTACTCTAGGATACAACTTTTATAAGCTTCGCTTGAACATTTTACCTGCTAGTCCGATGAAGACACTGAGTCCCAGACAACAGAAGAAAGCTAAGAAGACCATCACAAACTCCCCCTTCTGCATTGAGTAGAGCCTCATTTGCACAGACCTACAAAATTGTTTGTCTTAAGATAATTAACTAAGATTATCATTTGCTAAATTTTTGGGACAATAATATATTGTACACAGTGTTTCAAAAGAAGTTTTAACAGGTTAGAAATCACATTTCTATTATATACCTGGTTTACACCATCATTAAATAGGTATTGGCCATATACAGGTAGGCAGGCCCTTATACCTGTACTGTAATTTTATACTGATTATTAATACAGAATTCATTTTAAGTTTACCAATATTAGCCCAGGCACTTTAGGTAAAAAAATAGAACAAATTAATAACTAGCTAATTTTTTGTGTGGTGTTAGTATGTCATTAGGTATAATTTTTATGTTGGTGGTTCACCTATTTTGCTTGAAACTTGTCCAATTTGAATAACTAATAGCTTAAATGAAAGCCAGTATTTTACTGAAGGTTCTTAGACCAAAATATGTAGGATTATATAATTACTAGCAGAGTACCCGTCCTTCGTACGGGGTTGGCATATAAGTATAAAATGCTTATTGCAGTTATTGGTGAGGACTTGGTTTAAGAAAGTTTGGTTCTTTTGTTCTACCACTGCCCCTGAACCATAGAAAAAAAAGGTATTCTAATATTCATGCAGTATTTAAATGAATGTTTGAACCAGCTGTATGGAATTGTGAAATCAAAATTAATTTGACAGTTAGTACTGCTTGTTTACATTTTTAAACTTTGTAGGTTTGTTCTTTGTTGTCATGGATACCATCAATAAAAATTTACTTTGAAATCTCTCACCTCCGAAGTTAATCATCTCTCAATTTGAAGTTAGAAGTAATACAGTAGGTAAATATATGCCGATGCTTGATGTGAAATCTTTGCGTGCATGTCTTCAATTTGAGACCTCAATCATATAAATCGGTCAGGTAGAAGAGCCAAACGAACTCGGCATAGAGAAACCATATTTAACTCCCATAAGAAATACATGAAGAGCAAATTTAATTTACATATAATCCGACTGGGATTATAGATAAATATATGCCGATAGTTGATGGCGAATCTGTTTATGCATACCTTCAATTTAAAACCTCAATCATGAAAATCGGTCGGGTAGAAGAGCCAAATGAACTCGGAAAAGAAAAACCAAATTTTTTAAATATAACTTTAATAACGCCTTAATATACAACATAAATTTGTTTTTTAAGCCATAAAAAGTGGTTTAGAAAGAATTACATTAATATTTGAGGGCCAAAATGGAAAAATCCCATTTTTACCCTTTCCCCTTCCCAAAAACTCCTGTTACCAAAGTCCGCGGTCATGCTGGTTCACGAACTCATCCAAATAAACATATAGGTTCACGCGTTGGTACCAAATTTCATCAAAATCGGATCATTTTTACTAGCGGGCATGTGTGAATACATGAATTTGAACGGATGGTGTTTTTGGCCACTGGGGACCTTGAAACAAAAAGTGGCCCTGGGGTTAGGCATTAACATGATAATAAATTTTCCCCTCGATGGAAAATTTTATAAAACCAGGGATTTTTACAATCAATATTATATGACTCATAAATATTGTTAATAGATAACTTTAGTGATAGTTTTGTTTTTCAATGAATAGATTTTTTATATTTAAGACAAAGCTTGTAGCTAAGGTTTCTACACCCACCTCTCACATCTATCGTGGTGATAGGCAGGCGCTATGTACTTGTTAAACTCACTGAAGAGGTCACTGAACTGTGACAATGCGTTGCGCAGTCGTAACAAACATCCCCCTGATGGCAGGTGGTAGGCATACCCAAGATTGACTCCTTCTAACTTTGCCATTCTGTTTTATGCTTTACCCTGAAAGCAGATGCTTATTTTTAGTACGAAGCATTCAAGTAATCCTTCCAACAGATGTAAATACTAAAGCGAAACACAGTGGATGGCTGTCATGTATTCCATTAAAAAAACTTAATTTAGATCTTTCTTCACTGGAGTTCAGAGATGCTCTTGCACTAAGATATGGGAAAACTCCAATACACCTCCCATCTTCATGTGATGGCTGTGGCAAAAACTTCAGTATGGAACATGCCCTTAACTGTCGCACAGGTGGGTTGATAATAAGAAGACATAATGAGGTAAGGGATACTCTTGGAAGCTTGATGGAACCACAAAGAACCATGTCAAAGTTAGCATGGGGAAACTGTTTTCGAGAACCAATGATCTCTGAGCAAGGGTCATTGGATGCTGCAGCACTAAAAGCAGACTTGGCTTGTAGGGGTGTATGGGAGGTTCAGACGGAAGCATTATTCGATGTACGTGTCGTTGACACTGATGCTCCATCTTACTTGAACCTCCCATACGAAAAAGTTCTGGAGAATGCAGAAAGAGAGAAGAAGAGAAAATATTTTACAATAACAGAAACAAGAAATGCTTCTTTCACCCCACTAGTCACGTCTGTGGACGGAATGCTTGGCAAAGAATTTCAGACCTTGCTCAGAGCAATGGCAGAACGCCTCACAGAAAAATGGAAGAAACCTTACAGTTTAGTGATGAACTGGATAAGGGTGAAAACCATCTGTGCGACGTTAAGGGCCAGCAGCATGTGTCTATGGAGGACAAGAAAGAAGTGGAGGACCCTTAGAGAGTTTGAAGATGGGGCTGGAGTACCAGCTTTTTATTAATCTAAATAGAAAATGTTTTATTATTTTTCCATGTCAAAAAATGTAAATAAAGATTGCTTGTCAAAAAAAAAAAGCTAAGTATTACAGGCGTTATTTCAAAACTAATAACAGTAATGATTTCCAATGACAAAAAAAGTCTACTCAAAGATAATGTTATCAATCACTCCACTCTAGTTATCGAAACTGAAAACGAACATACTCTGAAAACGAACGCTCTTGTGTGTATTATGAGCAGCTGCAATTAATACAAATTATTTGTCTGTTTAAGTAAACAAAATATTTCCTTCATAAGAAATACATTTGGATTTTGTTGGCCTGTGGGGCAAAGCCCGAGGACTTTCATTGCAGGAATTGTTGAAAGGGGGGTTCTGCACAACAAATACTTAATTATGACACCTCGTTTGTAAAAATCCGTCCATTATTAACAGAGGGGTAGTGTTTCGTATAAATCGCCTTCACGTATTATATTTTTGGTGAGTGTTCAATTATAACTTGTTTTACAGTATTTTAAATAGGTTTTTCCAGTGGCGTAACAGCCGGCCCCGCAGACCCCACGGTGCGGGGGGCCCACGAGGTTTAGGGGCCCGCGAGGTTGAGATACCCTTTTCTCCTAAAACCATCCGTAATACCAACCACGAATGTTTTTTTCTCCTGACAAATTTTTTAAAACGTGTTGGTAGATACTTTTATTCTGCCAAATCTACTGAAGTTTTATCTTTTACTTAACAAAATTGTTAACGAAACGCCACCGCCCAACACGATCACCCGACAATGTTGTCCGTGTGGTTGTGTTGCTTCAGGCTAGAAGCTGAGTGACTGCCGCCTGGGCGACACACACTCGGAGCAACCCCTACCCGCTCACATGCAACTCAGCTGACCGTAGATCACCTGATTTTGATAGAGATCCATGCGGGTGACTCACCAGCGGTGCCTGTCATTGTGTATTAATAATTCTATTAAACAAGTAATAACATTAATGTTAGTAATATGTTGACATCGTTTAATGTTGTTAGGTCTAAAAGTGAGAATGAACTAAGGTAACAAATTTAACATTTAAGGTTAACAAAATTTAAATCATTTCGATGAACTAGCAGAGAACAAACTGCCTATCGGATCCTGACCTATATATTAAAACTGTTGTGTATCATGGATCTTAATAAGGTACTGTAATAATCAAATCACTTAAATATTTCTTGGGATGAACAATGCAAGTAGTATGTATTCTGTTCTCACCTAGGAGTTTTTATCGTAGTCTACAGATGAACAGTTAAATCAACAGAACTAGCTGCTGAATGTAACGAGGATTTCACTTCAGATTTTCCTCACTGAGTTAATTTATAACCATTGTTAAAAACTAACAGAATTAATTATTTATAAAATGTGTTATAAATTAAATATCAAACCCCCTTTATATAAAACATTCTGATACGTATAAAAATAAGGTATTTTGATTTTATTTTATTTTGATATTATTCATAGGGTACCGGTCATAAAGTGTGTGTTTTTAGTAGAATTCTAAAAGCTTAGTATAAAATAAATATAGGTATTAAGATTAAGTTTGACCAAAATGTATCCATAAAATATATATATACATATGTAACATTTTGAACGGTTGGTGTTTTTGGCCTCTGGAGACATCAAAATGAAAAAGTAAATCGGTACCGGGCCTAAGTCTTACCATGAGATTTATGGTAATTGCTAATTCCCTATTGGGAAATTCGCTAAAAGACCCTAGTTCCATGATAGCACTTGTGTGCCTATATTGTAAAAATTACAAACAATTTGAATTTAGGACGGAAAACATTGAACTACCAACCAATATTGCAAAAGCTAATAAATGCATGTAAATGTTCAATGGGTCATTACTACTTGCCATCCATATGTTTTAGCCTTCGCTCTGACTAAGTATTAGTATTAATGGTCATTGGTTTGATCAAAATTACTATTTAATAAGCTAATAAACAAAAAACCGTGTAATAAACGAGTAAATTACCTTTAGAAACAAAGTAATCCCAATAAGACAGTTGACTATTACATGATGTTCTCAATCAGCTGGGTGGAAGGTGTTTATTGATTCTCACCCCCTCCCCTTCCCCCCACTTGAGCATCACCATGGCAACAGCTATCTATCCACGTGCTGTCATAATCAATGTGCAGTGACTTTTTTAGCGAATTTCCCTTAGGGAACAAGCTATTAACGTAGGTCTCATGGTAAGACCTGGACCCGGGACCGATTAACATTTTTGTTTTGAGGTCCCCATAGGCCAAAAATACCGTCCGTTAAAATTCACACACACACACATATATATATATATATTGGTGAGTTTCAATAGTCCCCCCCACCAACTTTTTTCTAATTTTTTTTCAAATATCAATCCCAGACCACTTCCAAACATTTTTGGGTAGTAAGTACTTCATTTTGACAAGGTGGTCATTTCCGGCCACCATCTTAGATTCGCCATATTGGATAAAAAATATTTTTTTCAAATATAAAGGTGGAGTTGTGACCCATTATTTCGAATTAGATTTTTACCCTGATTACAATGCCACAACCCGTTTTTGAAAATCTTGATCAAAGTTATGAAGGCTTTTTATCACTTTTTTAGCCCATTTTAACACTGTGCATTAACAAACTAAGACCATAATCTCAAAATAATGCTAGATAAAGATAAGTATACACCACCAGTCATTATCGACATATTTTCACTTAGTTATGACGGATGTAATTTTTTCAGTCCGCATCTTGGATCCGCCATTTTGAAATGTGATAAATGATTTTAAATATGAAGGGGGTGTTGTGACCCATAATTTCGAATACCTTTTTTTAAGCTGAACTCAATGCCGCAATCCATTTTTTTTATCAGGTTTTCTTTATTAAATATTGAAATTTTTTGTTTAAAATGTCAATATTTCAAAATAAAAATATGAAAATGAAAATGAAAAAAACGGATCTTGGAATTGAGTTTAGCTTATAAAAGTAATTTGAAATGATGGATCACAACACCCACTTCATATTTTAAAAAATTTATCACATTTCAAAATGGCGGAACCAAGATGGCGGCCGAAAAATTACATCCGTCATATCCAAGTGAAAATAAGTCGAAAATGAGTGGTGGTGTATAATTATCTTTATCTAGCACTATTTTAAAATTAGGGTCTTAGTTTGTTAATACAGAATGTTAAAATGGGTGAAAATAAAGTTATAAAAAGCCCTCATGTGTAACTTTGGAATTAATCAAGATAAAAAAAGCGGTTTGTGGCATTGTAATCAGGGTAAAAATCCAATCAAGAATCAAGAGTTTTATTGTCATTGACCTTTCTTTGTACAAAGGAATAGACATAGTCAAAACACATACAAAACATTCCAAATTAACAAATAGAATACAAAGTTTTACAAAATACTTAGTTGATTAAAATACGACATATCTAGAGAATATGGATCATGTAGATACACATCAAAATTCAATATCAACTTTTGTTTTTAGAAATTCATGGATGCCATAGAAAGGATTACTTATCAACCATTCACATAATTTAGATTTGAATATCTTAAAGGATACAGTTCTGGCCGAATCAGGTAATTCGAAGTAATGGGTCAAAAACCCACCTTTACTTTTTAAAAACATATTTTGCACCCAATATGGCGAATCCAAGATGGCAACCGGAAATGACCACCTTGTCAAAATGAAATTTAGTTATTTCATCCTATGCTATTAACGTTTGGTCAAAAACACTTTTTATTCTCCCCATAGTAGTAAACCTAAGCTCTCGTTAAATCTAATGTTATTTAAATTCAGAATAAATATGCCTTATTTATGGAAATATGTTTGTAAAAAAGTAATCAGACAAGTTGAAATTCGCTTAGTCTGCAGGTTTGCTGCGGCGGGGGTATTTACAACTGGTGTTTAAGTCATAATAATAATACATGTATACTGTGCTTGTTTGAATTTACTCAATTTTCTCTGTTTCCGAATTTTAACCCATTGGGGGAGGAATTGAATTAATGCGCTGCCTGCAGCACCCTCTGTCGGCAATTAATTTTACCAAATTTATAGACTTTTATTCTAATAGGTAATAAATTAATAATTCCTTCGCCATTTTGTTCTCAGTAAAATTGTCTACAAATAGTGAGCAGTACTGAAACGGCCTAGACAACATAAATGTTGCCCTGGTCGAGTCACACCTCAGGTATGGTCTGGTGGTCTGGGGAAGTACAAAAAGAGTCCACTTATCCACCAAAAAAGAGCTATAAAATGTCTAGCAGACCTTAAATATCAAGGAAGCGGCCGTGATGCATTTAAGGAACTAAAAATCCTCACACCGACATAAAAAAAAAATAAATAAATAAAATAAAAAATCTAAAATAAAAATCATTGTCTAAAATGTAATGAATTTTATTAAGTGTTTCTCTGGTACACCAGCTTTTCAGAACAACTTTCGTCATTATTGCTAAATATCTTATTCAACTATTTGGCCGTTATACACTTGGACAATAATTACAATTTTTTTAAAAACATATCTTTAAGTTTTTCTTTAAATGTTTTTCTAGATGCAACAACCATCAGGCCGTTGGGTAGACCATTGTACAACGAGGGGCCAAAATATGAGAAGCTCTTCCTCCCTCAAACCTCATCGCGAAGAGAAAGCCTCTCGCGTAAATAGTCGGGCTCACAAAGAGACAATACTCGGTTGCTCATGCAGCACGTCAACAACCTGCATATGGCTTCAACGGGAAGCAGACTAGCTACTTCTCGAAAGGGAGAGACATGATCAATTTTTTTCAAATAGAAAAATGTAACGGATTGTGGAGTTTTGCAGACGTTGCACCCGATACATGTCTTCCCGAGAAATGTTGTTGCCATATGCAGGGAAGCAGTAGTATAATACTGACAGTATTAGTGACTGCAGGAGCTGAAGTTTTGCAGCCTGATTGCATCACTTTACATCCGTGAGGCAATTCTCCATGCCATCTCCACAAATCAATCAAGAAACAGAGACATTCACCATCACAATACACGGAATGCCTCAAGCTTTACAATACCACCTCACCATCTAAGTTTCTTTGAAAAGAAGCCATCCTACAAAGAGGCCCGGTATTTCAACAACCTACCAGAACAACTTAGAAATGAACAAACTCACCGTTTCAAGAACCAATTAACAACATGGCTGCAAGAAAGGCCATTCTACTCAGAAAAAAAATCCTTGACAACCAGCTTTTACAACACATTAATTTCACAAATTTTATTTATTATTCTGACGCATGTACTGTTCTCAATGAACATGTCAATAAAGATTATTGTCTATTGTCTATTCCCATGTTATACTTATGGAAATTAGTGTAAACTGTTGTAGTTTGCTTGTTTATGGATGGATAGATGTTGATAAATCATGGTGAATTTATTTATTTTATACTTAGCTATTAATATTAAAAAAAAAAAAAAACGTTATTACCCTCTCTGTAGCAACAAACATAAATATTTGTTAAACCTAATGTAATTCAAATAGATTTAAATGGGTGTCAAATCAGGCAAATGGGAATTCGCTTAGTTTGCAGGTTTGCTGCGGCTGGGGTATTAAATAATACTGCCAAACACTAGACCATCAATTAAAAATGTTAAATGTCCTGTACTAAAATCCATACAAAGTTATACAAATTGTTAAAATAGTTAGAATCTAATATTGACAGCATGTTGTGGGTGCTAATATCGCATATATTTACAGCTAACACCACAGCTCTCAATTAAAAAAGTTTTTTTTAACGTTTTGAGTTGTTTCCAAAAGTAACAAATCAATGTATGGTTTTTAAAAAAGCTAATATTACTTATAGTCGACAGATTTTGTTTGAAAAGACAAATAATCGTTGTATGAGTATATCAGGACAAATTTGAACTAGTTTTTAAATTTTGTACTGTATGTACACATTTCTTTGGAAATCAACATTTGTCGATTATGGAACTCTTTGAACACATCCCTCAACTTCCATTTAGTTTGATTTATTAAAGTAAAGCTAGTAGTCCTACTAAATTTTATCTTTCTGAATGAACAATAGATTAATGTAACAATAGATGAATACAGTTGGCGTATTATTGGGTAGAATTTAGAGGACAGAACTTCTTTCCATGAGTCCCAGGTTGACACCCTGCCAATCTACAATAGCTTTAAGCTATTTGACAAAGCCCAGCTGTTTGGTCTCACATCTAAAGCTACAGCTCCACCTGTATTGAAGATCAATAAGGAAAGGTTTCTAAGGTAAGGAGAACCTTCTCTGCATTGTACAAGCACAAAGGTGTGTGAAAATCCTGAGTTCTAAACTACGACATTAGCTTGAATTTTTTAGTCAGGAAATAACAAAACTCAGTAACCTACCTAATTAACTTTAAACCTACCAAAATTTGCTTGTAGTAACCCACCTTATAAGTTAGTTATATCAGTGAGTCGACGTTTAATAATATCAAAAGAAATAACGAGTTGGACTTATTCCATTTTTCTTGAGGACCTAATTACTGAACTACAAAGGCTTATGAATGTGTGGTAAATTAAAATTGTGACATTTGATATAAAATAAGGAAGGTCTAGCAAATTGAGGGAAAACTATGTAAAAGAAATAACACAAATTTACTCTAGGTAATCTTTATACGGCAATAAATTGTATAAATTATTTATTAAAAACTATATACAAAATGTCTGTTGGGTTAGTTTAGTCCCAGTATTTGATGAGACCGTCCCAGCCCGCTGTGGCTAGCTTGCTGGGCTCGTGAGGATGCCAAAGAACAGATATACAGACGTTGTCATGTGCCTTCCATTTGCTGAACAGTTTGGTTGTCTTCCAGTCCCACACGTAGGTCTTGCCATCAGCATCTCCTGACACTATGTAGCTGTAACAATCCAAGCAATAGACAGGTCTAACAGTTGTAACTTACGTAAAACAAGCTTAGTTAAAGTATGAAGAGTTTTTTTGGGAAACCAGGCTTACAAAAAAAGGAAAGTGTCAATTTTGGTACAAGAAACATAAACACTCTACACAAAAATTTGAATATTTCATTGT